TGGTGACAAGCACACTAGTATTTCATAATCACTGACAATTATGCCATTTCCGAATTTCAGTTGTTCTCAAAATGATGCCCTCATTTGCAAAAACATTATGTAAATTGTTTTTTGTTGTAATGTCTGAAATATTCAGCTTGGTTAAAAAATCTCGAACAGAAACAGAAAAATAATTGCACAAAATGTGAAGATTTACACATATATTTTGAGTGAATATTTATAAAGGACAAAGTATTTTTCCTTCTTCCTCCTCTGTTCCTTCTGCGTTGTCAACCTTTAAAAAGTGGCTGTCACGTCGAGTTGCGGTCCACAGCTAGGCTGCGATATCTATGCCTTTTAGCCCAAGACATCTGATTTCAAAAAATTATCAATTAGTTGCCATTTAAAAATGCTTGTTAGGAAACAGTAGGCTATTTTCTGTTTCTTCCGAAATGGGGTCGCAGAATTCACAAGGGGAGGATAATGGATTTGAGGAGCTGGATTTCTATGACTGCTTTTTTAACAAAGTCATATGGTTTTCAGTGCTCAGTCAGTTTCGAAGGCTCAGATGGCTAGGACAAACTAGCAGGATGTTATAATTCCTAAGGATATCCTCTATGGTGAAATCCTATGTGTGCAAGATATTAGGGCTGACTGCTACAATGATATAAAGGTGTGCGCAAGTGAGGACTAAAGGCATATATAAGTATTAAGATAGTTATGCTGGAGCAGGATGGCAGAAATTGTGAAATCGTCTGTCTGTATCTGCAGACAAAAACAGTCCTTTCAGCCACAACAGAACAGAAACTTAGAGATTGTCCAAAAACTTCATATAAAGTCAGTACTGAGTACTCCTCCAGAAATAGATTTGGAACAGAGCAATAAAGTTAACAACAAAAACTATCTGTAGGAACATCTGAGAAGAATGCCAAAAAAATAGAGAAGGATAAAAAAAAAACAAATGAAGCAAACTTCATCGTGACAGATGAAAGTTGTAAACTTTTTAGAACAATCAATCAGACGAAGACAATCAATGTGTTCTGGACATGTTATATCTTCTTCTTCTTCTTCTTCGATCCTTCTGTCAGAAAATTTATATCAGGAGGCCAGTAGCCTTTATGAAAGCTTTCGTGCAATCCATATCCTCTTGTGTACCATACAGTTTTGTCTTCATTGTGGTTGGAACAGGCCAGATTGCGTCTCTGTTGTCAGCATACAGTTGACAGTGTTGGAGCACATGCTCAGCATTTTCGGGTGCCACGCTGCAGAGACACGTCTCCGTATTTCCTACACCGAAAAATTTGAACATATGTTGACGAAATCTGTTGTGCCCTGTCCTTAGTCTGAATATAATAGACTGTTCCTCTCTAGAGAGGCGATGAAGTGAGTCTTGGGGAGAAAATCTGGTGTGGGTATCCAGCCACCTTTCTTGGATACTAGATTGTATTAGTGTTTTCATCTCTTGGTGGGTTAAGTCGCTATTTGGTTGTACCATGTCACTGCCGCTTCTGGCCAATCTGTCCGCTATTTCATTGCCTTCCAAGCCACAGTGACCTGGAATCCACTGCTTTACAGATTGTTCTACTGAAGAGACTAAGTAAATCAGCTGTTGCGTCAAGTCTACAAACTGAGTGTCTTTTGGGTTAACAATTGCTTGTAGAACTGACATAGCATCAGTCAGAAAGACCACTCTGCTATATTTGCTGTGCTGTTGTCCATTCAGGAAAGAACATGCCGCTAGAAGTGCTTCTGCCTCTGCTCTGTAATTGGAGGAATATGAACCTGTTGGTACAGCCTGGTTGATTTTTAAACCATTTGGGCATTCTATGTATATTCCTCCTCCTCCGTCTCTTACTGCTCTCTTGGCTGAACCATCTGTATACACTTGAATCCAACTCTGGTGTGGGTAAAGTCTATTGATCTCTCCTTCTGTAGTTGATTTCATATCAGTGCTGCTCATTGATGATTTGGAGGAGACCCCTGTTACAGTGGTTCTGACTGTTGGTAGGCTATCCCTAAGCCAAGCGGGGCAGTCGTTGTAAGGTTTAAGTGGAACATTTGGTATTATGGGAGGGAGTTTAAGGACAGCGAGCTTGGCATTTGCGTTCTTAATAAAGCAAGTTCTCTTTAGTCTAGCCTTCTGGGGTTTCTGTAGTCGGCTGTACATGGGTTGTTCTTGAAAGTGGTGGTATTTGGAGAGCTGGGTGAGGATCTTTGTGTCTCTCCTATCTTCCAGATTATGGAGACCAGTAATTGTTTCCATATCTGATATGGGCGTGAAGCGCATTGCCCCTGTCATAATACGGAGAGCATGGTTTTGGATCTTTGAGACTTTCTGAAAATTTGATTTAGCTGCTGTGCCCCAAGCAGCTATTCCATATTCTAGTGTTGGCCTCACATAGCCTGTATAGGTCCTCTTCAGAGCTAGGTAACTTCTGGCAAGACTGATAGAAAGAGAGCAAGAGGAAGGCAAAGAGATAAATACCTGGATGGCCTGGCCAGGTGGATGGGGCAAGACAAAAACATTGAATGATGCATGAAATGATAGCTAAGTTTGCTCGCATGGTACATGATGAAGGATAATTCTATAACGTCAAAGTTTAAGTAACTAAACTACTATATTGATTTCCTACATGATCTCAAAGAAAATCAGGTTACCCCAACCTAAAACAGATAATGGAACCTGTTCTATATAGTCTATACGAACCATTCTGCCAGTGATTAATTATAAAAAACAGAAGAGGGCTTGTGCCTTTTGAACAGATGCAAAAAATGGCTGAACACAAAACAAAAGCTAGGAAGTTTGGAGAAAGCAGACATGAAGATAACAAGTGAATGTTTGGCCAAAGTCTTTGTCAATAAATAAAACAGGAATACTTTACTACAGAAACAAAAATAAAATAAAAAATTTCCATAGTAAATAAGGTATTTCTATCGATAAACAGAAACAACACATTTTATTACCTTGCTTTTCTGTTATTAGGATTAACCAACTATGATTGTGTTAGTTAATTTCTGTTTGTCTTTCTACTGCTATGCTTCACATTTGTTCGTAGTCAGCTGTTACTATATGTTGATGTTTTAAAGCAGTTCTAACCAATCTATCTATTTTATTTTTTACAATCATAAGTTTTGTAATAAATCAATGTTTTAAAATTATGATTTCAAGAGGATTTCTCAACTGGTAACCCACGGGCCAAATCTGGGCTGCAGCGGCCTGCAGATCATTGCTAACTGTACTGGGTTAATGATCTTTCCCTATTGGGGCTTTTGAGTTTTACATGTACATCCATTTTACAGATCTGGTAGATGCAAACTGTTGGTACCTTGCCTCTCATGCAGATGCTTGGCTTCGAAAGAAGCACCTCTAATTACTCAACTGGTGACCCGTGGGCTGAATCTGGGCTGCAGGGGCCTAGAAAGTGGCCTCCGGATCATTGCCAACTGTACTGTGTTGATGATCTTTCCATATTGGGGCATGGGCCTTTGACACACAGGCAGGTGACGATTCCCATTTTCAATATTTTGTTCCCTGAGTAAACTTAGCTGAACAGCCCAGGTCTAGAGGTTAGTTATATTCACAATCAGTCGGCGGTTAGTTATATTCACAATCAGCCGGCGGTTAGTTATATTCACAATCAGTCGGCGGCTCAGGCGGTGCAAACAAGCTTCGTAATGCTGGAGTGCAGGTATCAAATCCAGCTGCGGACAATTTGTTTTGCACTGGTTTCGACAGCTAGACTGAGAGCTGACCTTTCAGAAAGTAATGGCAAACTATCGAATGTAACATTTGCCTTTTAAAGGAACAACAGCAAAAAAAATTATGAGGTTGGTTCTGCAATGTCCTGTAAAGGATACGCAACTTACTTTTAGTTTTATATTCATAATCTGATGTGGAAAAATACACACACAAAGCATTTGATTTAACATAAACTTGTCAATACTCAACATTCTTAAAATGTCAACCGTAGCTGAAAGTCAGGTAATGTCACATAATAAAACAACTCAAGGATGCAGACCAGAAGTCAAATTTGATGACTAGAAAATTAAAGAATATGAAAAACAATGCTTTCCTGTGAAAAGAACTGAAATAATGTGGACGCAAACAATACATTGCAAAATGTATTGCCAGACATATTTCACTGGCATAAAAGCCTCCACTTATGTAAGCAGAAGGAATTAATAATCAATTTGAGGCTACCCTGGTAAGTCCTGACAAAAGTGAACTTCTGGCAACTAGATGAACATGATGTGTGAGAGAGACCATTCACATTTCAGTGGAATGTATTCGGCAGAAATAAATTATGTGTGCTTTATTGTGTTGATGTAACTCTGCGTAGTAATGCACCTGACGAGATATGCCTAGCAATCAATTGTTCAGTGTATTGTTAAGGATTATTTTTAAAAATATTGATTTTTTTTTTAATTATAAGATAACCAATAATTTATTATACATATCTTTATTAAATATAGTGCATATTTCTTAATGTCTCCTGTTATTCAATTTTAATGATCTATCTATTCTATCTTAATTCTCCCTTGAACTTGTGTATCTAGTTATATAATTATTTTAACTCCCTTCTATATTTAATCTGGTCCCAGAAGGCAGATAAATTAAATATAAATCAACTCATGGTGCATTCCTTAGTTTTAGTACTGGCGTACGTACTTAAAGAGTTGAAGATTCAAATATTGCATCTCTAAAACAGACAAACTTTGGGATAGTTAACAGTCAGTACCAAGATATCCAAAGTAGGTTTATAAATTAAATATAGGTTATTTATTATTTTATATATACTATGCACAACAATTCGATTACAAACATGCCCCATTCTTCTGACATGTTAATTCATCAAGTTATTTTAATTGTAAGGTTAACTCTTTCGAATGCATAGATATTTAATATTTTATCCTATTAAAATACAGACTCAGAGACTGTTAGTGTTATTTAAGTACATATACATTGAGACAATGCTAAAGTAAAATATTACGTGAGACCCAAAGGGTTACAATATATTTACCTGCATATTCGTAATGCCAATTTCATCATTGCTAAGCCATCGTAGTCGAGCAGATAAATCCTGAGAAGCTTGCTGAATAACAACACCGCCAATATTCCCTGGGTTCACAGCTTCTTGCCGGGTATCTGTTAGGTATCCCTCATCCTCTACTAAATCCGATGTTGAATAATCGCTCTTTTCATTCTCTTCAATCGGTGATGAGCTCAAATCAATATTCCTTAAATGTATTCTCTTCCCGTGGCTAGCCAACGGGTCCAGCCACTGCGGGGTATCCGACAGTACCGAACATGTCACATTTAAAAGCACAGCCAAAATAAGTAACAAACACCGACAACAAACATGATCGCCGAGCGAAGAAGCCAGACCGAAATGCCGTCTTCTTTGAATTGTCGCCATATTGAGACAGCAACCAAAACTTGTGGAGCAGAAGTCGCTTCACATAAAACCACTTTTAATCAGAAGTAACGTAACTACACTCAAGTAATCCGTGCGCAAAGTAATTAACTGGATGGTGTGGTTGTAAGTCCGTCTAGTCGCCTGCAAACATGCAGAGGAAAGCAAATCCAGTCGACATCCATCCTCCTCGGGTCCCCGTAGATCTGGCCGTTGATTCTCTAGCTCTACACTTCTTATTATGCGACTGCCTTGCCAGATCTCGCGAGACATGGCCAAAAGCAGCCAAATTGAATCTGAGCCAAATCGATTATCATTTTCATCATCTTTTTTTTTTGGAAAACGCACGCATAGATTCTTTTAAATGTCTTCTTCTTCTTCTTCTCTCACAGGGGGGTGTTGAGGAGGGGGGGGGGGTTGAAGGATAGTTTGTGCGCTTTTTCCAGTGCATTGTACAAATTGGTGTTCGTTTCTGTTAGGTTGCTCCTGATGATGTCGCTCCATGGCTTGCGTGGTCTTCCCCTTGCTCTGTGTTCATTATGTTTCTTATGTGTGGCTCATGTGGAATTTGGTACCAGGGCATTCTCATTTTAAAATACATTTGATGATTAGTAGTTTTTTTTTCCCCCATTTTGTGATTTTAATAATAAGCAACTTGTGTATGTGTGTGTGTGGTATTTTCATGATCTTTGAGAAGTAGTAGTAGTAGTGGTAGTAATAGTAGTAGTAGTAATTTCCGGTTCAACCCTCAAAGTTATAATTGCGATATGTAGTGCTAATTGATTTCTTGTAGAATGTGATCTGTATTTCATATTTATCTATCGCATAATTATTTAAATGAGAGACATGTAATTTGTTTTGTCTCACATATCGCTTCGAGAACTAAGGCTCAATTCAATCAATCAATCAGGTGCCGTCTCCACAATGAAGGTTGGCTGCAAAGGATCTCCGACAAGCCCTGTCTTTTGCCCTTGATGTACACTCACTCATACTGCTGTTCGTCCATCTCTTGATGTTATCCTCCCACTTGTAACGCTGTCTGCCTTTTGCTCGCCTACCTTGAACCTTTCCCTCTAGGATGATCTTTACAATAAAGTAATGTCTTTTAATGTGGCCAAAATATGTCACTTGTCTCTTTTTTATTTCACCTAGCAACTCTCTTTTCATTCCCAATTTCCTCAGTACCTCTGTATTTTATAGCTTTTGTTTCCATGAAATACGACCTAATCTTCTGTATATCCACATCTCCAAAGAATTGATACGATTTTCAAGTTGTTTGTTCATTGTCCATGTCTCTGTGCCATACAGTAAGGTTGAGAATACATAACATTTGACAATTCTCATTTTTAATGTATTGCTTATTTCTCTTGATGTCAGTAACTTTTGCATGTTGTTGAAAATGCTTTTGGCCATCCCTATTCTTTTCTTGACTTCTGTTTCACTTCTGCCGTCACATGTTATTACTTGTCCAAGATATAAGAAATTTTTAACTTGTTCCAATTTCACCCCGTTCACTGTGATATTCATTGTTAGCTGATTATTTTCTTTGCTTAATATCATGGTTTTTGTCTTTTTCAAATTTATATCTAATCAAAATTCTGCACTCCTTCTGTTTACTTGCTCCACTAGGTCTTGCGACTCCTGCTCACTCTCTGCTAGCAACACTGTGTCGTCAGCATATCTCAAATTGTTTATTATTCTACCATTGATGTGCAGTCCTGGTAATTCTACAATTTCTTTAAAAATGGTTTCTGAACATAAGTTGAAAAGGCTAGGCGACAGCACACATCCTTGTCTTACTCCTCTCTTGATCTCTATCTGGGGTGAGCAGATGTCATATCTTACTGTTGCTTCTTGCTCCCAGAGTAAGTTTCTAATAAGTCTGATATCCTTTCCATCTAGTCCTATGTTTTGAAGAGCTGCACTTAGTTGTTCATGTTGCACTCTGTCGAAAGCTTTTTTTTTTTTTTTTTTGTAATCTATAAAACATGCATAAATATTTTTCTGAACTTCTATATATTTTTCAGTCCGCATCTTAAGACAAATTATGGCCTCTCGAGTACCACTGTTTTTACGGAATCCAAATTGCTCTTCAGAAACTTCTTTCTCTATTTTATCTTGAATTCTTGCTTGTATTATCTTCAAAAGTAACTTAGTTACGTGACTCATTAGGCTAATAGTTCTGTAATCTTCACAATCAACAGCTTTTGAATTCTTGGGTTAGTTACGTTAGTTAGTTAGTCTTTCCTCTTGTGTCGAGTGCGGCACATAGGGCAGAGGTCATGACTCTCCATGCATGGCGGTTCGTTGCAATCTGTTGTAGGTCTTGGATGTTTGAGTGGCCCATGAGTGAGCCTTCCCTGATGAAAGTTCTACGTAGGGTTTCCCTTGGTCTTCCAAGAGATCTTTTCCCCTGTGGTGTCCAAATGAGGGCTTGGTAAGGAAGTCTTGATTTATCCATTCTAAGGGCGTGGCCGACATAGTTCCAGCGGCGTTTTCGTATAAAATTAGACACATACTCTTGTCTGGATTCTTGCCTTATTTGTGTATTGGTTCGGAAATCTGACCATTTGAAATTTAGTATTCTTCTAAGGCATTTATTTTCAAAACTGTCTAATTTTGTGTCTAGAGTTTTCGTTGATTTCCAGCTCTCGCATCCATAGGTTAGTACTGGAATCACACAAGAATTGAAGATCTTTTGTGTGTTTGCTAAGTGTCTTTGATTTCCAGATGTTGGACAGTTTATTGAAGGCACTAGATGCCAGTGCTATTCTAAATGGTATTTCTGGTGCAGTATCTCCTGTAGATGACATCTTGCTCCCTAGATAAGTGAAACTGTTGACTTTTTTCAAGGCTGTTGTTGTTCAGGGTGATATCAACTGAACTGTTGGTAAGGTCTAGAAGTTTTGTTATTGCGGTGTTAATTTGGAGTCCAATTTGTTCTGAGAAATTCTGGAGTCGATTGATTTTTTCTTGGGCGTCTGTGTGTTCTGAACTCAGGAGTGCTATGTCGTCGGCGAAGTCTAGGTCTTCCAGAATTTTGTCAACCCATGTAATGCCCAAATTTGCGTTATTTATGCACTTGCGCATGACCCAGTCGATTGCTATAACAAAAAGCATCGGCGATAGGACACAGCCTTGCTTCACTCCTGTTTCCACCGGGAACCAGTCAGAATTGCCGGAATCAGTTCTTACACAGCATCGTATTTCATTATAAAAAGTTTTATGATGTTGATATATTTGATAAGGAAACCATAGATGTTAGGCAATTTCCAGAGTGTTGGACGATGGATACTGTCGAAGGCTTTTTGGAAGTCGACAAAGTTGATCAATAATTTCGACTGGAATTTTGTAGAATCTTCAACAATTATTCTAAGAGTAAAGATGTGGTCTATGCATGACCGCTTGGATCTAAAACCGGCTTGTTCTTCCCTTAATCTTTCATCTATGGAATTTTTCAATCTTTCTAGTAGCATACTACATAATAGTTTCCCTGGTATCGAAAGCAGGGTGATGCCTCTCCAGTTGTTACAATCGGATAAATCACCTTTTTTAGGTAATTTGAAGATTACACCAAGTGATAAAAACAGATGTTTTCATGTCCCTGGGAATGCACCCATAGTTATAAATGTCATTGCATATTTCGGTGATAGTATCAATTCCAAAAGTAGATAATGATTTAAACATTTCTGCAGTTATGTTGTCTGGACCCGCAGCTTTTCCCTGCTTTATCTGTTTAATGGCTTTCTCTACTTCAGACTTTAATATGTTTGTCCCTCTTGAATATTATGGATTGGCGGTTTGTCACCTCTGTTGTCCCAAAACAGGTCTTCTGTGTATTCAGTCCATCTTTTTATTATATCTTTCTTATCAACAATAATTTTTCCATCCTTTCCTCTAATACAACCATTTCCTGTTAAATGTTTTTCCTTGTTTGTAAGTTTTCTTATATTTGCATGTATTTCCTTGGTTCTGTGTTTTATTTCAAGATCCTCTATTTCTTTGCATTTTAACTGAATCCATGTTTCCTTAGCAGTTCTACACATATTTCGTATTTCTTTGTCTATTAATGAATATTCTGGAGTGTTTTTTTTTTTTTTTTTTTGCTTTCTTCCTTTGTGTCATTTTGTTAATAATTTCCTCAGTCATCCATACTTGATTTTTCTTGTTTTCTTTCACTGTTAAGATGGCAGTAGCTGTTTCTATACTAGTTTTTAAACATTCCCATTTTGTATTAATTTTGTCCTCTGGATTCTCCCGTCGATATTGTTCCATGCTTTCAACTATTAATCTGTCATATTTTTTTTAAACCCCCACTAGGTACTGCTGGCTTATTTCTGGCTGTTTTAAAGCTGATATGTCTGTGTGGGGTGACCTTTGCGTTTTTATTCCTGCGTTTTTAAGTTTGATTTGTATTTTTATTACCACAGGGTTGTGATCTGAATTTATATCCGCACCTGGGTATGTTTTGGCGTTCTTTATGTTGTTTTTGAATCTGTCTCTAATCATTACATAGTCAATTTGGTTTCTGTTTATATCTCCTGGACTCTTCCACGTAAACAGTTTTCTAGGTGGATGTTGAAAAAATGTATTACAGATAATGAGTTGGTTCTCTTCGCAAAACTGTATCAATCTGTCTCCTCTGACATTCCTTGATCCCATGCCAAATTGCCCTACAATATGTTTGTGCTTCTTTTTCCCCCACTTTTGCATTCAGGTCTCCCATAACTATTAAAACCTCTGATGATTTTACAACTTTCAGTGTTTGTTGTAGTTCTTCATAATATTCTTCAAGCTGTTCATCACTGTAGTCAGTTGTTGGTGCATATGTCTGTGTTATTGCAATATCAAAAGGTCTTGCTTTGATCTTGATCAATATAATTCTGTCATTGTGAGCCCAGAACCCGCTAATAAACTTCTCTGAATTTCTTTTTATCAAGAATTCTACTCAACGTTCATGGTGTTCTCCTCCAGAATTAATAAATATGTAATCATCTCTCTTTAGGCAGCTAGCTTCTGTCCATCTTGTTTCTGATACTCCCAAAATATCTAAATTAACATGAGCCAAATCCATTATCCGTTTTATCTTGAATTTGTTTTCGGTTTTGGAACCGCACGCATGCATTGTTTAAAAAAACATTTTGATGATTGGTATAGTTTTTATCTGTTTGTAATTTTCACAGGAAACCATAAGTGGTTTGGGGGGGGGGGGGGCGGAGCGGGTAATTTTATGATCCTATACTTCACTTAAGGTTTGCGGTCAAATTGAATGGTCAAATCGATTTTTTGTTCGATTTTTAAAACATAGATTGTTTAAATATACATGTTGATGAATAGTATATTTGTTTCTTTCTCTTTTGTTGTTGTTGTAATTTTAACTTCTTCTTTTTCTTCGCGTTCACCAATCGTAAATTTCGGCAGAAAGTTATGGTTTTTTTTTTTTTTTTTTGTAACAAGACACAAGTGGTCATTTTTTAATGTCTTGATCCTAGGGTAAGTAAACAGTTGTTCAATTATGTATCACAGAGAGCTCACAGTCCATTCCGGCAATCCGTTCAATACACGTATTTATCCACCAGTGTCCTCTTGTGCAGTTATGTCTCACATAGGACTGGCAATCAAATTGTTGAGTTGAGTTGAGTCAAGAATTGATATCACAGCACTCAGGGCATTCCCACGCATGCTCCGTCCTCATCTTCAGAGTTCTAATACTGATGGTACCGGTCACAATGTGGTTAAATGTCCATCTTGCTTTTCCTCTGAGTGTAGTGACCCGGCCAGACCCTCTGGTTGCACCCAGATTTCTCATTCTCCCCAGGCCATAATAATCATACTTCTCTACTGATTCTGTTGAGTGTTCCCAAAGGGCCTTGACAACATCTGCCTTGTCATGTATCAATTCACCACCCAGTGGTGCAGATCCAGCCAATATGGCTGCCCTGTTTATTACCCAATACGCCGGCATAGCCTGGAGAGCTGTCCAATTGAATTAGTGCCAAATTGATGATAATTTTCTTAGTGGTATGTGTGTGCGCGCGCGTGCGTGTATGTGTGTGTGTATGTTGGAAACGCATATATTGTAGAAACATACATTCTGTAAAAAGTCCTGGTTGTTCGTCCATTTGGACTTAAGCTTTGTGTCAGGACCTGAATTTTTCGTGTACGTCAGTTTAACTGGCTTATTTATGTGCAGTTTGTTGTTTCTTGCCACTCGAGCAGATTCGCTCCGACTACGAAGGAAGCTTCTAATTGCTTGACTCGTATTACATGCGTGTTGGCGGATGCAATGGCTCTATTCTTGTCTTCCTCACAATGGGAACCCGGAACCTACACGGAGATCCACAGTTAATTTGGCTGCAATGGTTCTCCAACACTCCCTGACCTTAGTTTTAGTTGTACAATCTCTCAGATTGTGTTGGCTGCAATGGTTCTCCAACACTCCCCGCTCTTCGTTTTGGTTGTACAATATCTCAGATTGTGTTGGCTGCAATGGTTCTCCAACACTCCCTGCTCTTCGTTTTGGTTGTACAATATCTCAGATTGTGTTGGCTGTAATGGTTCTCCAACACTCCCTGCCCTTCGTTTTGGTTGTACAATCTCTCAGATTGTGTTGGCTGCAATGGTTCTCCAATAATCCCTGCCCTTCGTCTTGGTTGTACAATCTCTCAGATAGTTTTTCGCCAATCTCTTGATGATATCCTCCCATATTTATCTTTGCTTTTCCTTTGGTATCATCTGTTCTTTAGAGAATGGTTTTATTAAAAAGGAGTATTATGTATTTTAAATGGTTAAGTTAGCGGACAGACTTGCAAAAAAAAAAAAAAAAAAAAATGGAACAAAGGAGAAACAACACACGAATGCATTATCATTACCAGAAATCAAAACACTCATCAAGCGAAAATACAAGGAATTGTGGACAGGACAAACCAACAGTAAACAACCACAAGACCCCATCAACAAAAATCAACATACAAAAATGTCCGTCTACGAACAGGACACTGTAGGCTCAACTACCACATGCATAAAATAAAGATTTAAAGTCCCCACAGTGTACATGTAAGACAGGATCACAAACACCGGAGCACATTTTGCAGACCTGCCCACTCTACATACAACTTCAAAAAGACACCTAACCTCAAGAGCAAAGTCTGCAGAGCAAGCTATGGGGAACCATGAAGGACTTGCTGCTGACATGTGAGTTCATCGCGGCAACCCACTTTTCTCCCTCTGTAAATTTCCTTCAGCAGCTCTTTTTTTCATTCTCGGTGTCTTCAGAACCACTGTATTTGATTGGTTTTGTTTCTATAAAATATGACATGTTCTTCTGTATACACATATGCCCATGGGCTCAATTGACCTTGTAACTGATTGTTCATGGAAATGAGGTTTATACAGCGGAACAATATCATGGCACAAGGGTAGTAACCCATAAGTGCTCCGTTCTACTTCTAACTCAAGCCTGAGTCCGACGGTTCTCAGCGCAGTGCACGAACTTCGTAGCACCTGTTAAACAATCTGTTAAACAATCCGGGTTATAATTGAAACAGATGCACGCAGAAGAAGCTATTCGGGAAATATATTAATTAAAAAAAAACTTAATGCAATATATTTGTTCTTGTAAATTACTGAAGACAGAAGAGCCTTGTATCTCCCCTAACACCCGTAGTGGTAAAAAAAAAAAAAAAAATTCAAGGGAACAGGAAGAAAATAAATTACCCAAGACCGCAACTTGAGAAAACGTCAAATTGGCAAATAGAGACACAAGCAGTACAAAGCTAGAGATTTGTTAGTTTCGAAGCAGGAAGAACACAGCCGAAGAAAAACATGGCGGCCTCCATAAGACTATTTTGTAAACAAATGTCTGCGATACACAAGTTACCGGTGTCCTCGAAATTGTTACAAGGTTACAGGTTATCAGCACTTATAGGTGCACACAGGCGCTCTTTTAGGCTTCAAGGTGAATTGTATTGATAGTTGTTAATGTCGTTTGCTATTTGTTGATAGTAATTTTTTAATAGTATATACTATTTTAACTATTTAGTATAGTGTGAATATATTATTATTTATTATTAGTTTATTAGTGTACATGATTAATATTATTAATAATTAATTCGGTTATCCTCCGAATAACGGGCACTAAAGATGGCGGCCGCAAAATATCCTGACGAGCCTCAGTCATGTGTTGTAAACATTAAAAAATTGAAGTCAAAACTAAAAAGGAACGGCAAAAATGTTATATCAAATCGACTTCTTTTTCTTCTTCTTCACTTACTTACTCTTTTACCGCTGTGGGTGTCGAGGGAGATATAAGGTTCTGTTTCTAGCTCTTCTAGCCGCCTCGACCATAGGCGCATCGTGCTGTTGTAGAGTTTCTCTGATGTTATCCTTCCATCTTCATCTTGTTCTTGGTTTACCTCGTGCTCTATGTCCTTCTTCTCTTTCCATGTATGCTTTGTATGGTATGGTGTCACAAGGCATTCTCTCTAAGTGGGCAAACCATTTCACTTGATGTCTTCGTATGTAATCCAGAATTGGTTCTGTGCCGACTTTTTCTCTTATGATCTCATTCCTGATCTTATCTCTTATGGTCACTCCTACAACCCTTCTCAGACATCTCATTTCCGCTCTATCGACTACTTACCGATAATTTTATGCCTTTATATCTGGAAATTATGGCACAGAAGTTGTAAATAGTGCCCGAAAATCTGCTGTTTATGGTTTATGGCTGTTACGCCATTGAAACTGGGCTAAGTACGTTCGGAGCGTCACTCATGCGTAAATTGCCGACTTCCTTCCGATAAACACTCCGCCGAGAGCTCCCACACGAGAGTCTTATTCTAGGTCTGAAAGTAATCTTCTTCTTCCTATTTGCGTTTACCATCTGTGAACTCTGGTGAAAAGTTGTGGTTGTTCCAGAGCATGAATGTTGTGTCTGCATCTGTTTGACAGATCTGGCACGTTTTGTGTGCAGACTGTAGCTGGATGATCTGCTGACTAACCAACCAACCAATTAATATTCTCTTAATTAATTACTGTCTCCTGCTTAACAACACATTTAATAGTAAATCTTACAAGAATGCCCAACCTATCATTGAAACCCACTATGCAAAAGTAAAAAGAGATGGGGGGGGGGGGGGGGGTTACTGCCGAAAATGTACTCTAAGGTACATAAGTAAAGTTATTTCTTTGCTGGTGCGTAAGTAAAGTTGATGTTTCTTTGCTGTTCTTTAAACAGTCCCTTATTGTGATGTAATATTATGTTCAGGTTATCTGTGCAATGGAGAATATGAGTGGGAAGACCCAAAGTCAGAAGCTGATGTGTGAGTAATTGTTAGATTTACAGTTATAGTTAGTAGCACCTACTTTTTATTTTGTGGGCCCTTTTTTTTTTAAGAGCACTAAAACATGCAGTCATTGTTCTTCATGTGTGCCATATCTTTCAGCAGTCAGACAACACTGTTACAAACAAACTTTCTTTAATTTCAAAGGGTCACAAATTAGGCTCGCAGGCCCGTCTTACATTCAGCCCTTCCAAACACCTGTCTTTCATACATTTATCACTAAAGCATGTTATGATAATATGCAATTTGTGAATATCAAGAAAAAAACACAAAAGCATGGGTGATGAAATGCGTGCACACACTAGAGCACGGTACCAGTCACATACCACCAAAAGAAAAGAATCATTAAATCGATCAGGAAACCACCAGCCCCAGCACAAGACGACTATTTTATTATAGACAGACCAGAACAAGTCATTATCTTCCGCCTCAGAACAGGGCACAACTGATTACGTAACCACATGTACACAAAATTCAAGATAGGTGTATCAGCCATGTGCACCTGTGGAAATGTGCCCCAGACCGTAGAGCATGTACTCCAGGACTGCACCGATTTTGACACATTAGGGCAAACCTTTTGACCAGAAAGAACAACAGTGGAACGTAAACTCTATGGACCACTGAATGAACTAACAACGACAGTAAAATTTATACAAGAGACAAAACTGCTGATATAGATAACTTATTTCAGGCGAACGAAAGAAGAAGAAGAAATCAACTTCTGATTGGCTGGTAACAATAAACATTTCCATTGTGACACCGTTTGTTGCTTGCATCATTCAGTTGTCTTATAGCTCACTACACATCGCTAACATTCGCTAACTTGAGGCGATCTCAGATGTGGCAAATTTCTGTTGTGGAGAACAATTTGTTTATCCCCTGGAATTTTTCTTAACTTGAATTCTTATCTGAATAAGAGGTATTTCTGATAATAAAGAGCCATATTTTGGGTTCCCAGTGATATCTCCTAATGAGATCTGCACTGTACTACAATTGTTAATTTCTTATAATTCTTATTTTCTCATGATTTTTGTGTGTATCGCTGTTGAACTGAAGATTGCTAGCCAAACTAGTTAATGCTCAGTTGCTTTATAATCTTTGATATTGTGAGGTCTTTGTTTGTCACTAACTTCTTTAATCCATCTTCTTCGCCTCCCAAGCTTCTCTTACAATGTAGCTCCCTTGGGCCAGATCCACAGTCTTTGCTGGGAGGAGTTAGGGCAGTGCTGCAGTATGTACTCAGGGGCCTGTCTTTCTGCTCCACAATCACAGGCAGCAGATTCTGTTAAGCCTATCCTGTACAGGTGTGCTCAAAGACCACAGTGTCCTGTCAGAAGTCTAAAAATTAAAGTTTGTTCTTTCCTGTTGAGTTTGTTTATGCAACTAATACCCCTAATTAAAAGACTTTTATGGGATGATTGTCATGCTTTTGGCGTCTGTGGTTTAGGCGTTGTGAATGAGCTTCATAATGCCGAGTTCGATCCCAGCTGCGGACAATTTGTCTTGTGTTGGTTTCGACAGTGGAACCGAGAGCTGACCATTAGGAAAGCAGTGGCAAACTACCGAACGTAAAATTTGCCTAGAAAAACCACATCAGCAAAAAAATTCTGGGGTTGGTTCTGCAACGTCCAGTAAAGGATATGCAACTACTTTTGTTGGGGTAACAGTGGGTCTGTTGTAGAACGGGGCCCTTGAACCCACACAGGGAGTTCTTATTTATGATTAGTTCTTTCTATGAGTCCCGATCAATACACTGTCTCCTTATTTATGATTAGTTCTTTCTATGAGTCCCGATCAATACACTGTCTCCTTTTTATGATTAATCCTTTATCTGTTAAATAGGGATATATTTGATTTGATTGTGCTCTAGCAGAGTAAACATCACATATGTGGACAGACAGGGTGAAAGGCATCAAGTCCGTGGTAAAGTTGGTGACAATGTGATGTATCTGGCTCATAGATATAACATTGAAATGGAAGGTTTGTTGTGTTTTGTTGTTATGGTAAATGTAAATGTAGTTTTCAGATTAAAGATTTGTTTTGTTATTGTTAATTGCAGAATAATATTATATCTGATTAATATTAAAGGTTACTTATTCATAATTAATATTATTGAAGGCATGTACTTATAAATGAATGCTAGCCGAAGACACAATGTTAGACTTATGAATGATTGAAATGTTGTGAAGAATTATGGGATATATGTGGCTCCAGCTGGGGGGGGGGGGGGGGCATAAAAGAAGAATAGTACAATGTATTTACAGGCAGAGAATTATTAGAACCATGTCCCTGGGTGGGTTCGGAGGCCCCATTATGAGGAAATCAAGAATAGACTCACTGCTGCCCCAACATGCATGTCTTAGTAGTTGACTAACTGGGGCATTCTTCAAAGTTGGAGTACATCCACATGAGAGACAAAAAAAACTAACAGTCTTGAATGAATCAAGAATTGACATCACTGCACTCCGGACATTCCCACATGTGCTCTGTCTCCATCTTCACAGCCAACGAAGAGACAGCATGCTAATAGAACCAGTTGCAACCTGTTAAAAAAAGTCTACCTCTGTTTCCTCTTCAATGTTGAATATCATCCAGAACCTCTACTCACCCCCCTTTGAATTAGTCTTTAAGCATAATGATTCCATGTGTCTTCTTTTGCACTCTCCATTTGATCCCATAGAGCCTTCCCCACATCCACTTTATCATACACTAGCTGACCATCCAGAGAAGTGGCAGCATCCAGTCTATCAGGCAGCTTGTTACCTCACACACCTGAATGCCTTGTACAGAAAAATCCATGATATGCTCTTGTTACGTGCTCCACATGGGAAAGACTGTCTTATGACATTTTCTGCTGGACATGGAGCATCGGTGGATATATCTGTGAATATAGATCTATTCAGGGAGCCACCATGGTCCAGCTGCTAGATGCTGGCCTGCAGATCTGACAGACATGGGTTCAAATCTACATGGTGCCAGACTTTTTTCAAGTGTGACCTTCGCTCCTAGGTTGACCCCGCCTTAAATGGGTACCAGGTAAGGCCTTGGGGAGTAAAGGCGGCGGGTGTAATATTGACGACATCACCTTTCGTGGGCTGATTGGTCTATAAAAATATAGGTCTAGCCCCAAATGCCTAAAGGCATGGAAATGGGACGTTTACTTTACTTATATGCTTGATGCGTCAGTGGTGTGTAAAGTGACCTCTACCACTCGCTATAGATATATTCGTAAAGTTCAGATCAATCTAGTGTAAATTTCCTCCAAAGTCAGAGCGCATCTACCTGAGAGTTAAGGAATCAGCAGTCTGCATTCAAGTAAAACAGATCTGTAAAATGGATTTACATGCAAAACTCAACTTCCGGAACAAGACTAAAGTCTAAAGTGGATGAACAACCAGAATTTTCCGCTGGAGTTTGCAACTGGTGAAGGCTAAGAAAAAGAAGAAGAAGAAGAATGCAAATAAATAGAAGGAAGAATGTTATCAGAGATATGAATTATTCTGCTTGTTCCAGGTGCGTGTGAAGCTTCTCTTGCCTGTTCAACCTGCCATGTTTATGTGAAAGATGAATATTTCAACAAGTTACCAGAACCCGATGAAAAGTAAGTTATTCGCCATGGTTGCTCACGCTGTATATGTGTTTATCCTCTTTGTTAGTTTCAGGAACTCAGAAGTTGTTGTTTTTTCTCTTCTTAGTATTTACTGGCTGTAACCTACAGCGGAAAGTTCTGGTTGTTTATCCACTTCTGGACTTTGGTCTAGTTTCAGGACTTGGGATCTGCATGGATTTTCATTTTAAGATATGGCTTATTTGTGTGCAGACTGTTGGTTCCTCGCCTCTCAAGCAGATGCGCTCTGACTGCAGGAAAACCCCTGATTAGTTGCCGTAAATAACATGCTTTGGGGTGGGGGGGGGGGGAGTTGCAGCAGGCCTGTTATCTCCCCCCCCCCCCCCCCCCCCACACACACACACACAAATGGGCCCGTGAAACGACATTAGAAGACTCGCTAGTTTGATTCTCTTTGGTTTTTTGGTTGTTGTTTGATTTCTCGTCTCCTTTACACCAGTGGGTCTACTGGTGATGTGGGAAAGGGGCGGTGAGGTATGGATAATTAGCTGACTCCTGACAAATGATCTGCAAGTGACCTGGTCAGACTCGCTGCCCCCTGCCCCACAAGCATGTTGTAAAAGGCGTCTAATTTTCCTTTGAAGTGGGAGCACATCTGTCCAAGAGGTAAGAAACCAACAGTCTGCATGCACAGAAGCCACATCTGTCAATTTGGTGCCTAGCAAAACTCAAGTTCTGGTACAAGATCAAAGTCCAGAAGTGGATAAACCACCAGAACTTTTTGCCAGAGTTTACAGCCGGTGAAGAAAATAAATGAATGATGAGAACACCCTTCACACATAACAAAAAGTAATTAAGATGTTTTAAAAAAAAATTAACATCAGAAAGATAGTCTGCTTTCTTGGTTCATATCATGAGAGGGAGAAAATTGAAAGTAAATCATGATGATGGCAAAATTATATGGCAAAACTGACAAAGAGGGACGGAGAGAGAAGGTGCTGGTTTGACATCTTCGCATGGAAGATCATCTCTGTCAGAAGTGACTGAAAATACACAAAACTGAAGGCTGTGGATAGACATGACTACCAACACCAAACTAAACAGATTATACAAAAAAATACCTTATCTTTTTTATTTTCTACCTACATTTGTTGCCTTATCGATTTATAGGTTAGTATTTTATAACGGTTGGCTGTGTTGTGTTAGTTTGTTTGGAAGTACTTTCTTGTTCTTCTTAATCATTCACACTTAAAAGGGTTGTTGACACGTTATGTTGTGGTTTATAGCTAGGCTGCTATATCCGGACCTTTCAGCCCAACACAACTAATTTCAGCAAACTCCTAAATAGTTACCTTTTACAAAATGCTTGTTAGGGGGCAATCAAACACCCCCCCCCCCCTCCCCACACCCCACCCCCAAATCGGATCCAGGAACCCGTACACAGAATTTGTGACCTCAGATAAAAAACTTCGTATTTTAGTACCAGTATTTACTGCATCTGTGACTAAGGCGTTACAAACTCACTTCGTAATGCTGGGGTGCCAGGTTCGATCCTGGCTGCAGGCGATTTTACTCCTTGCATTAATTTTGGCAGTGGTATCGAGAGCTGATCGTTCAGAAGCAGTGGCCAACTACTGAACGTAAAATTTACCAGGAAAAATCACAACAGTCAAACAAATGCTGGGGCTGGTTCTGCAACGTCCTGTAAAGGATACACAACTAGCTAGCTCACTACAAAGTGTCTGTTACAGTAAGTAAAGGATACACAACTAGCTAGCTCACTACAAAGTGTCTGTTACAGTAAGTAAGGGATACACAACTAGCTAGCTCACTACAAGGTGTCTGTTACAGTAAGTAAAGGATACACAACTAGCTAGCTCACTACAAAGTGTCTGTTACAGTAAGTAAAGGATACACAACTAGCTAGCTCACTACAAAGTGTCTGTTACAGTAAGTAAAGGATACACAACTAGCTAGCTCACTGCAAAGTGTCTGTTACAGTAAGTAAAGGATACACAACTAGCTAGCTCACTACAAAGTGTCTGTTACATTAAGTAAAGGATACACAACTAGCTAGCTCACTACAAAGTGTCTGTTACAGTAAGTAAAGGATACACAACTAGCTAGCTCACTACAAAGTGTCTGTTACAGTAAGTAAAGGATACACAACTAGCTAGCTCACTACAAAGTGTCTGTTACAGTAAGTAAAGGATACACAACTAGCTAGCTCACTACAAAGTGTCTGTTACAGTAAGTAAAGGATACACAACTAGCTAGCTCACTAAAAAGTGTCTGTTACAGTAAGTAAAGGATACACAACTAGCTAGCTCACTGCAAAGGGTCTGTTACAGTATGTAAAGGATACACAACTAGCTAGCTCACTACAAAGTGTCTGTTACAGTAAGTAAAGGATACACAACTAGCTAGCTCACTGCAAAGGGTCTGTTACAGTAAGTAAAGGATACACAACTAGCTAGCTCACTGCAAAGTGTCTGTTACAGTAAGTAAAGGATACACAACTACCTAGCTCACTGCAAAGGGTCTGTTACAGTATGTAAAGGATACACAACTACCTAGCTCACTGCAAAGGGTCTGTTACAGTAAGTAAAGGATACACAACTACCTAGCTCACTGCAAAGGGTCTGTTACAGTATGTAAAGGATACACAACTACCTAGCTCACTGCAAAGGGTCTGTTACAGTATGTAAAGGATACACAACTACCTAGCTCACTGCAAAGGGTCTGTTACAGTATGTAAAGGATACACAACTACCTAGCTCACTGCAAAGGGTCTGTTACAGTATGTAAAGGATACACAACTACCTAGCTCACTACAAAATGTCTGTTGCAGTAAGTAAAGGATACACAACTACCTAGCTCACTACAAAATGTCTGTTGCAGTAAGTAAAGGATACACAACTACCTAGCTCACTACAAAATGTCTGTTACAGTATGTAAAGGATACACAACTAGCCAGCTCACTACAGATTGTCAGTTGCAGTGAGTAAAAGTAAAAGAACCGTTTCCACACCTTCAGGCATAATATGCAAATAGGGCTAGACCGATATTTTTATAGACCTATCAGCACTCAGTGGGTGATGTGGCCAGCACTGCACCGTCTGCCTTTACTTCCCAGAACTTTACCCATCTGTTACGGTAGTGACGAAAAAATAATGCAGAAAAAGGTGCCGGTACTGCATAACACCCAAAAGAATGCCCTGCTTTCTGAGTATTCTTATAAGCCCTGGTAACGAACAGGCTAGGCTATGCATATTATCCATTAAACTTTTGGGCACTCTTCTGTATGATTGTCTTTTATAGTTATTATTTGTTATGTCTTTGATTTTCAGAGAGGAAGATATGCTAGATATGGCCCCGTTTTTGAAGGAAAATTCCAGATTAGGTAAGAAAACTGCAAAATAAGTTCTTAGATTGACTGTCGAAAAACATGAATACGATAAACTGATTAGGGAAATTATACATAGACAGAAAATATTTTTTTTTGTGTGGTCATTTGTAAGAAGGAAAGCTGTGCTGATGTGGTTTTATAGACGAATGTTGAGAATACCCTGGACAGATAAAGAGAGTAATGAAGATGTCTTGAATGAAACTGACTCATGAAGAGAACTGATTGCCCACATCTGTTGCTAACTCTGTAGCATGTGATTGTGGCTCCAGAGCATGTCTTACAGGAATGCCCAAAATTTGACAGTCAGAGAAAAGAAATCTGGCCCACAGAAGTGATTACAAGATAAACTGTGTGCCACCTGTGAATGAAGACCTACAGCGCACTGTCTTGTTTATGACCTGTTTTGGAATAGATGCATAGCTGACTGACTGACTTTCTACCCCACCAGGACATCACACAAGCGATAAACACAAAGTGCCACCATGCGGATGAGGATCGCCGTGGAGAGGTCCCAGCAACCGCGTTCAGACATTTGGTCATATTTATGGCCTGCCTATATTGCGGCCCCGGCAAAAGCCAGGGTGGAGCTTCAAATAACAATTTCATCCTGAAAAGGACGATAGAGAATAATGCTAACATATAGATGCATAGCAGACATTGACTGCTGAAGAGAAGAAGAAGAAAAAGAAGAAGATGAAGAACAAGAAAAAGAAATACAACCTGGTTATTATGTGCAATAAGTTGATTGAATAGATATAAGTAAGTAAATTTTATCCCACCAGGACAGAACAATAAACACCTGGTGACACAAAGTGCCACCATGCAGATAAAGATCACACATGGAGAGGTCCCAGAAACCGTGTTCAACCGTTAGGTTATATTGCGGCCCCTGGCAACAGCCAGGCTTTAAAATGATGACAAATTGTATCCCACAAGGAGGATGACTGGGATTGTCCTGATTGAATAGAAATGTTTTTTATTTCATCTTATTATTCTACAAATATTCAGATTTTAGATTTAAAATTGTTTATATTCAATCTTAATATTAAATGTTAAAAATATCAGGGAACAGCAAATGAAGCAGTCATAAACTGATAGAGACATCAGATGTAGACAGCAGTGTTGCCACTTTTCTTTGACAAAAAATATTGAAATTGCACAGTGACAACTTAAAAACATTGCGACCGATTCTTCAACTTTTGATGATTCATTTATCAGTGTAGTTCTGAAAACAGATGTCAGCGGTGTAATATCTTTGAGTGGAACTGCAGTTTTATGCTTTTTAGTCTCTGCATGACTCCAAATGAAAAACATCTGGAAAAACATCTACCATCTAAATGTCAAAAACCCCATCTAAATGCAAGGGAAAACATCTAAATCTGGATGGAAAACATCCAAAGTGGCAACATTGGTAGACAGGTATTTTGGACACATAAAAAGAAATAATGGATTTGACATTTTGGTAGCGATAGGTAAATAGGTAGTTGAGGAGGGGGGAGGGGGATGGAATCTAAGCAAATATACCTGTATTGCTTGACCATACGGATGGGGCAAGACAAGAACTCTTATCTGTGATCATGTGAGATGGTGAAACATTACAACAGTCTATGTTTATCGTCATGGTATGTGATCATGATATTTAATCTTATAAATCAGATACATACAATTTAGTAACCGTGTTCATGATGTGTCCAGTCAAATCTCATAAAGTAAATGCATGATACATTAGTCATACATCAGTTCAGTAACCATGTTTATGATTTGTCCTATCAACTGCAGGTTGTCAGATTATTCTCAGGAAAGAACTTGATGGGATAGAAGTGACACTTCCAAAAGCTACCAGAAATTTCTATGTTGATGGACATGTGCCTCAACCGCACTAACATTAAGAATGTTGCTTGATGTAAACAGGAGTGACCACAGTTGAGCTGAATCGTCGATCACTATGCTAAAGTCATCATCATCATGTAGCAGGTCCGTTGCAGAATGTCGCTCTCATCACAGTCTGCCTGAAAGAAACTTGGTCTCTTGCCAGCTCTCCCACCTTGTGTACGTTCATATTCAAGGAGTCACTTATATCCTGAGCCCATCTACATGTTGGTCGGCCCCCTCCATCCTGGTACCATGCTTTCTGCTATAATTTTTCCAGTCCGTTGTGGCACTTGATATGACCAAAATATTTCAGCTCCCGAGACAGGATGCTGTTTATTAGTCAGTCTTCCCTGATGTTAAGATCTTTCAAGGTGTCAGTATTTCTCCTCTTCTTTGTCCAAGATATTCTGAGAATCTTTCTATAGCATTTCAGCTCAAAAGCCCCTATTCTCTTTCTTAATTACTGAAAGATAGTACACGACTCACATCTGTATGTTGCCACAGGTCAGACACATGCTCTCAAAATTCTAATTTTGATCTCCTTGCTGGTGCTTAACAAAAGACTGATAAAGTTTGCAAATTCCTCCACACAGGTATATACTGCTTTTTTTTGGTCCAAACTAACTGCCTTTCAATGCCTAACAACACTGTGAATTCCAGCTCTTTGATGAAATTTCTTGAACCGGCCTTACTTGCTTTAAATTTATCAACGCGAGCGTATTCAGAGTTTTCGCTACCAAATCACCATGCCAAAGTAAAGTCTTCTCATATTTTAGGGTCTCGCTAACTCTATCTCCAGCAAGCTGCACCTTTCATTAATCCAAACTAACAGTAATTCTCTACGTCTTCCAACACTTGAAACCTTTGCTTAACGCAGACACTCCTTTAGGTAAGTTGTACCCACCAGGACATCACACAAGCGATAAACACAAAGTGCCACCAAGCGGATTAGGATCACCCGTGGAGAGGTCCCGGAAACCCCGTTCAGCCGTTGGGCCATATTCAAGGCCTTGCTATATTAAGGGGGCCCCGGCAAAAGCCAGGGTGGGGCTTTAAAATAACTAAAAATTACACTCTACATGGAGACGATGTTAAACACTCTTGTAGTCACATCAGCTGTACTTAGCACATCTTTGGACTTCAGTATATTACAGATCCTACATTCAGCTGTGTCATACTACTTGGAAAGATCATAAACCCAAACACCATTCTCATGTTTAGTTGTTATTTCCCTCTTCATTTCTACTGTAATATGCTCAGATTTTTTTTTTCACAACTGTCACTAACACTTTTGACTTTCTTGGGAGCCATAATGAGGGTTAATTTAATGCAAAAGCAACAATAACTTGTATCACAAGCAATGCAAAAATGTTCACAGCACAAAAACTTATGCACAACTTGTGCTCTTCATCAGCTGAAAACATAAAGCCACAGCCAGCGGGTCGAGTCTTCTTCTTTGCGTTCACTGGCTGTAAACTCTAGCGGAAAGTTCTGGTTGTTTATCCACTTCTGGACTACAGTCCTGTTCCAGAACCTGAGTGTTGCGTGTGCATCTGTTGGACAGATCTGACACATTTGTGTGCTGTTGGTTCCTTGCCTCTCAGGCAGATGCATTCTGACTTCGAAAGAATCTCCTAATTAGTTGACTCTCACGACATGCTTTTTGGTAGGCAGTAGGTCTATTCTTGTTTTTCCTATAAAAGGGCCCCGGAACCCACACGGGGGGGTGTGGGTAGAATCAAAATTTGTTCGGAAATTGTGTTCATAGGCTGGTTGTTCATATCTGTCGTAAGTAACAAAACAAAAATCATAATCTTCCACTGACTGCAGTTGCTCTTTCATGATCAAGATTCAGCTTTGATAGTAATCATAGGATGAACAAAATATGCATGTTGTGACTGTAATATAATATTAATGTCTTTGTTTTTATAAGTACTTATAATCAATGCTGATGTTTAGTGATGTTCAGTCAGTGGAGTCATGTTTTCAGACTGTACATTATAATTTTTTGCTTGTGTGACAATTGGAAAGTGGAGGGGGATGATAAAGGAAAAGGGGGGGAGGAGGGGGGGGGGGGTAGACAAATAGGAAAGAATGAGACTGATGTGGATATTGAGACAGAAGGAAGGGAGAGAGGAAAAGTGAGCAGTGAAAGGGAGAAGATGGAAATGAGAGAAAAGGGAAGAGAAGGAAGTGTCAAGGGAAAAGGGAAAGAAGAAGGAATCAGATGAATAGAGAGGAGAGGAAAAAGATGTCCAAGAAAGGAAGTGAAAAGAGGGACTATATGTGAACATATATATATATGTTGACCGGTTGAATGCTCTCTGTGAACCCAAACGTTTGCATGTTAAGACTGCCAGATTTATTACCATTGTTGATGTAAAATACAATTAACACTGTACAGAACTATGGCATCTGTTGCACAGATTATAAAACCGTGAAGATATTAAACAGGAAACAAAACACGCTCATTTTGCGTTGTTGTTCTTCAGTATTTGCACCCTTAACACTGACTCCACTGCTCAAAAGGTATTATATATTCCTTATATTCTATATAAGAGTACCCTTATTTTTTAAAAAACCATTTTACGTTTTTTTTTTAAAATTCAAGATACCCATGTACAATTGGAGCCATGGTGTTGGTGGCTAAATGCCCGCCTGCGGATCGCACGGCCATAAGTTTGCGCCCTAACGGACCCGGACTGTTTTTCTTTTTAAAAAAATGACTCAGGCTCTCAGGTCAACCCAGCCTTGAGTGGGTACCAGGTGCAGTCCTGGGAAGTAAAGGCCTCCGGTGTGATACTGACCAAATCACTCACTCACTAAGTGCCGATTGGTCTAGAAAAATATAGGTCTTGCCCTATATTCCCAATACGCCTAAAGGCGTGGAAAAGGGACCTTTACTTTTACTTTACCCATGTACATTTACACACTGAATTGGTTTACACCACTCTTGTTACTCTTAGCACTCTAGTGTACTCTTAGTGAAATAACATCTATAGTGAAATTACACAGGCAGAAAGACTGGTTGGCTCTGCACCACTTGGTGGTAAACTGATGTATGACAAGTTAGATATTGTGAGGAATTTGGGAGCGAGTTAACAGTGCAGAGGCGCAGATAGATCATTATGGTCTAAGGAGAATGGCACTGCGAGGAGTAACCAAGGGATCTGGCCAACGCTCAACACTCAGGGGAAGTATGAGACGGATGTACAATCTGACAGTTACTGGTAGCATCAGAATTGGAATTCTTCAAAGGCTGCTGAAGATGGAACTTAGCACTTATGGGAGTGTCCTGAGTGCTGTGATGTCGATTCCTAATTCAACATAATGTTTGTAGTACGGTGATTCCGGTCTCTAACACATGGAACAGTTAGGCCGTTATGATGAGTGTAAGGAGATACTCTGTACCTCACCTCAGGCACCACAAGGCTCTGTGCTGGTTTTACAGATCCTCATGCAAGACTCCATAAAGGTGAAAAGAAAAGGGTAAAGTCGAGAAATGTGAAGTAGCGTCACTGCACACGGTTATAAACCATAAGTGCTCTGCCACCAGTACGGACAGCTGACACGAAACTGTCCGCCTGTGTCGCCGCCCGCATGCAACTCCATATACTACAACGACGTTCCTCCATTTATCCCAGAGTGTTAACTCTGGTACTCCGTAGCTACAACGATGTTCCTCCATTTATCCCAGAGTGTTAGCTCTGGTACCCATTATCTAGAGGCAGAGTAAACCCCTGGAACCGCCCGGTTTTGAGCACCCTCCATGTGCTGAAGCGAGTCGCAAGTGGATTTGAAAGTGAGTCTCCTACCTATTGCGCTAATGCGGCAAGACTCCATGTTGTGCACTACGGATAATAGGTCATACTGGCCCTGGCAGGGGATCTTACAGTTGGTGGTGCCTAGAGATGCAGTGTTCAGAAATCTTTCGTTCTCATCAGCATGCCCACAACACATGGGTGATAACACAAATCTAAAACTGTCTAGAACGTGAGTGAAGCCTGTTGGCTGAATTTACTTCTTCTTCTGCTTTCTAGCCCCCAATGGAGCATAGGCCTGCAACCAACTAACGCCAAGTAATTCTATCCTTCGCCACTGAAGGCAGTTCTCTAGCTCCCTTCTCCATGGTTTTTTCGTCTTCATTTATTTCTATGCTCATGTGGGTTCCAGTGCAAAGACATTCTAATTTTATTATCTTTTTGACTTTTCCATGGTTGGTTGGTTTTTGTGGCTACTGTTTTTACAGGATGAGGTAATCAACCTCCAGCCCAACCCTACCCTTAGTCACCTCTTACGCCTTGTAGGGTGCAGTGTTACTATTCTCTGCTTCCCATCAGGGCTCCGGTGACATATGAGCGGGCTGGATATCCTACTATATGACAAATGTTGGTTCAAACGTCTGAGAACCAAACATCCTTATGAAATGCTGATTAAGCTCCAGCTTCCATCATTTCAAGTTTTTCTATGGCTCTCTTGGCTGCTTAGCCCACACAGTGGTGGCATGTTTCATTACTGGCCTGAATGCTCCAGTGTACACTTGTTTCAGAATTCTGGAGCTGGCAGCCTGTGAGAGAATTAAACGAATTCCAGTGAACCAGTAGGTGAGGGAAAGATGCTGGTATTTGACAGGATGCGCAATGAGAAAAACTGATAAAGATATTACACAAGTCCTTGCAGTGGAGCTCAGTGAAAGAAATATATGCAGACCAAACCCCCCCCCCCCCCATAAAAAACCCCCAGAGAAAGTGAAGTTTAAAAAAACCCACATAAGACAGGGGGATGTGGGGTAAGTTATACGAGATAGGATGACTTGGCTTGGTTTAGATGAAGGCCTATGCTCCACTGGGGGATAAAGCGAAAAAAGAATAAAGATGAAGAAGAGTCTGGGACACTTCTGTAACAAATCTTTGCCTGTCATTTCGTCAATTAAAAAAACTACTTCACTGATAATTTATCAACTGTGCTCTAAGAAATTGGAATCAAGATTACGAGACCACTGAACGAGGTCTTCAACCTCGTCCTCAGATGCATCTGCTTTATGTTGCGGACATCTGTCAGGAGTTGTCTTCCCTGTGCTTCTACTGTGTATTTCTGACACTGAAAAGGGGAAGATATATATGATCGTGACAGTCTGTGTGAAGCAAAACACAAGTTAATACATTTACATTTAAAACTAGATCAAATTTGTTGCATCTGCTTGTTCTTCTTTATTCTTCTTCTTCTTCCTCATCCACCTCTTCTTCTTCCTCTGCTTTTTCTTTGTTTTCCTCCTCTTATTCTACCTTTCCCACACCAACAGAGCATAGGTTCTTAACCAACTCATACTAAACTGTTCCAAAAACAAGACTGTATAGTTATTCGACAGAGTTTTCCAGTTAAGAAATAAGAGAAACGTATAGTTATCAATGGCATGTTTTAATTAGTTGACTAAATGCTATCAATGACCCATATGCTTAACAATTATGAGTTGGATAAACCCTGAGGTATTCTTGTATGCAATCTGATCAATTTCACTCATTAAATTGCAAATATTTTGAACGTTAAAATGTTGTTCTTTGAATAGATACTTATTTCTTTTGTATGTGTGTGAGTGGTAGAGCGCCATAGGATAACTTCATTTTACATTTTTTAAACAATACAGATTTTTTGATATCAGCAGGCAAGTATGAAACCAAGGCACCCCTGAAGCTCTCCCATCTTTTAATCTAATTTTCTCCATGAGGGTTTTAGGTCCTCATGGGATGGGAAAGTGGAAAGGGGGTGGGGGGGGGGGGGGGCGTAGAACTGCTGCCACTTAACAAGCGTGTCATAAAGACAACCAATTAGGGATTTGTTGAAATCACATGTGTAAGGTCGGAAAAAAGGCACATAAATCTCAGCCTAGCTGTAAACTTAGTCTTAGTCGAGGTTTTAACTTCAATGCAATCGGGTTTTCCCATACTTGCTCCGTTCCTGTGCCCGTGAAAATCAAATGAAATGCCCCTCACTGTCGCATTTGAACAACTGGTGAAGAGACAATTAGTCCTGGAACAATCCAGAAACATTTCCATGCAGTAAATGCAAATTTTAGATGCTAGAGGCAACAAAGCCAACAGTCGCCATCAGAAATGCAGTTTGTTGTTGATGGAAGTAGTCAGTTACGATCAGTTGGCCATACACACATAGAATTATTACATAAGCTATTTTACCAGCTCACAGGTAAACCAGCTACCAGCCATACCATGACATACCATGCACAAATGAAAGGCATTTCACAGAAAAAACGCAGCTCAAGGGGCTGCACCAAAAACTAAACTCAGTAGCTCTGGCAGCGAAACCATAGACTACCATCCATATGTGGAAACTGCATTAGCAAAGTGCTGTCGCATGCAAAAATTACTTCAAAGCTCAACATTCTGCCATGCCTTAACCTCCATTTTAGGCCGGCTGCTGTGAACTACAACATGCCAACTGTTCATGTAAGGGCAAATACAGAAGAAGCAACCCTCGTATACAACATATTGTCGTTACTTACATGATGCCTGGTGACACGGTAGATACATCTGCTTCATTCTGTTGAGTTTTGCAAGTTTTGCCTCTTTCTCTGATTCCCCACGTAACTTTATGGGACCATACACAAGTAGGTTATGTCTGTTGGAGTGCAGACATAGTTATACGTTCTACATACAGTAAAAGCCATTAACATGAACTTGCTTTATAACATGAACACTGTTTTGGTCCCAGCAGGAATGTATTATTATGAGCCCCTGGTTAGCATGAAGTTTATTAAACAGGAAATCTTTGATTTTGTTTTTGGTCTTTTGGAATTCATATTAACAAGGTTTTACTGCATCTCTGCTATATAAACATATAGGTCCAGCCCTAAAAGCCAGTATTAACAGGTGAACTTGTTGTCATAACATGAACACTATAGATTTGCCAAAGAAGAATATGGAACCATACAAAGAAAGGCATTAGCAGTGTCAAATGCTTTGACATACGGAAGATGGGTTATACGGCGTACATACAGTAAAAGCCATTAACATGAACTTGCTTTAACTAACTAACTGGACATCCCCTGTTTATGTCCCAGCAGGAATGTATTATTAGAGCTAAAACTGTTAGCATGAAGTTAGTTAAACAGGATCTTTCTTCTTTTCTTTTACTGTTTGTCATTTGGGAATACAATCTGCTAACAAGGTTTTACTGGCTTCCCTGCACATACACATATGCTGGTAGAGCCCTCTAATGTTATCGCTATTAGTATTTCAGTTTAAAAAGTGCTTGTCAACCTCTCTTTTTGTGAATGCTATAGAGGTATGGCATCAGAAGAATATTAAACCTAAATGGGCAACTGGCATTAGCAGTCGCCAAATGCTGAGGAATATACTGAAGATGGGATCAGAGGGCGTATGGACTTGTTGGATGTGGAACGAGGATAATCTGTCCATTAACTAACTAACTAATGAACATCCCCTATATGTTTATTAAATACATGAAAACAGATTCTAAAACTGTCCAGCTTGAAGTGAGTGGCAGCTGATCTTTCTTCTTCTTCTTTTACTGTCTCGAGCATTGAGGGAGATACAAGGTTCTGCTTTTTGTTCTTCTGGCTTCCTTGATCACAGACACATATTGTGCTGTGGTAGAGTTTCTCTAATGTTATTACTACACCTTGTTCTTGGTCTACCTTGTGCTTTTCAACCATCTTCTCTTTTTGTGAATGCTGTGTATGGTATGGCATTACAAGGCATTCTCTCTAAATGAGCAAATCACTCAATATGTTGTTAGTTAGTTAGTTAGTTAGCTAGTTAGTTAGCTAGTTAGTTTTTTAGTTAGCTAGTTAGTTAGTTAGTTAGTTAGCTATTTAGTTAGTTAGCTATTTAGTTAGTTAGTTAATTAAACAGATAGTTCCTCACTGTTAATTTTTTAGACAAGCCCAGTAAGCATTCAGATAGTTATCTATTTCAGTTAGTTAGTTCCCCAGCAAGTGCTAGTTAGTTAGCTGACAATGCTAGTTAGTTGTAGCTTTTTTAGTTAGTTAGCTATTTGGCTACCTGTATAGTGTTTATAGTTAGTTTAGTTAGACAGTTGTTTTGATCCTGAAGTTCTTGTAGTCTTTTTGAGTCCATTGCTCAACTCATCATCAGTCTCCAGCAATGGCGACTGACAATGCTAGTTCTGTGCTGGTTTACTATTCTTCTTTGGCTACCTGTATAGTGTTTATGTTTGGCGACACTTCTTTTGACCTGAAGTTCTTGTAGTCTTTTTGGTCCTGTCAGAAAGCCAATACACTCATCATTCCATCTTACCCCAGAGTGTCCTGGCACAAAAATGGAAGTGATTCCTATCAGATGAAACTCCTCAGCGCCTTGAACCATTGTTTTCGAATCTTTCTCTTCTCGATCTTGGCCTCTTTTCACTTAGAAAGCATCAGAAAATGCAGTCTCTAGCCAAATAATTGCTTTTACCGACATCACCACCATAGATTCTTCACTGAATGAGTTCTCTGCGTGATTTATGAACACATACTTACAGTTGGTGTTGGTGTGTTTATAATATGGTTATTCAGCAAAATAATTGACTTCGAAACATCGACACAGTGTTTAGTAAGATTACCTAGATATTCACAGTACAATTTCTATCTTAATCACAACCCAGAAAGGTGTCAACAAAGCAATATTTGAAGCAATAAGAAGAAGAGCAGATGGCTAAAACCATACTTACGATTGCAATTGTTTCGCTTTTACTTGCTCTGCCAACTCTCTTGACATGCTAAGATGCAAATTCTGTTGGCAAGATTTCTCCTGGATTGAGTCCAAAGCTAGATGAAATGACAAAATACTTCACTGATAACAGTAGGTGGAAGACGTATTAAAGAAGTTAAGTGGCAAACAATTCAAACAAAAGCAACATTTCACAAAAAAAAGGATATTCTATGCAATTTATCTTTATCATCTGAGGTGACAAAGTGAGTTTTTAACCCTTTCACCACGAGAACCCAAAAAACTGGCACTTCCATTTTGGCCCAGTTGCCTGTTAATGTCACTTTTCTGACTTGACTATTGTCACCTATTTGCACGATGCATAATTAATGCAACTGGCTGAGTTCACACCTGCACAAATGTTTCAAAGGTAAGGGTATGAAAAAATTAACAAACATCATTTAGAGGAGTTTCCTCTGTGCTAAATGTTTTTTTTAAAGTCAAGATGATGTTCGATTTTCTTATAACTCTCAGCGGTAAATGTCACAGGGCCACGGCAAGAGTCACTCAAAACATTCGTGTTTTTTTTAGGCCGGGGCTACATTTTAAATGAATTTTTTAGTGCCCTGTGTAAAAATTGTTGTTTTTACATCTTCGTTTTCAGGAATCCTAACGTGGACATTGCAATTTTATTTTTTTAGAGTTTGCAGGAGAAAGGGTTAGGAGCTATACAGAGCCAGTCCTGGTGTATAGAAGTAAATCATGGGCAATGAGAAACTGGGTTATGGGGCAATGAGCCAACTATATGGGCAATGAGAGCCAATCCAAATGGTGAAATATTACGGGTATGAGCCAACTGGTGAAATATTATGGGTCAATGAGCCAACTGGTGAAATATTATGGGTCAATGAGCCAACTGGTGAAATATTATGGGGCAATGAGCCAACTGGTGAAATATTATGGGTCAATGAGCCAACTGGTGAAATATTACGGGTCAATGAGCCAACTGGTGAAATATTATGGGGCAATGAGCCAACTGGTGAAATATTATGGGTCAATGAGCCAACTAGTGAAATATTATGGGGCAATGAGCCAACTGGTGAAATATTATGGGGGAGCAATTATGGGTCAATGAGCCAACTGGTGAAATATTATGGGTCAATGGCCAATGAGCCAACTGGGTGAAATAGCCAACTGGTGAAATATTATGGGGCAATGAGCCAACTGGTGAAATATTATGGGTCAATGAGCCAACTGGTGAAATATTATGTAGAAGATGCAGCGCAATAATGAAAATAAAAAAAATAAAGCAAATCAAATCACTGGACAAATTTCACCAACTTTGCAGAGCAAACTGTAACACCTGACTTGCAAAGAGCACTATTCACTACTATATTTTAACCACTTTTGTGTTACCAGTACTAAATGTAGACATTAACAACAAAAACAACAACAACAACAAAAAATAAAGGAAAAATAGAAACAACAGATTCCTTGTGTGCGTCTGGGGTCCTACTGCTCCCTTTCAAGCATGTCATACAAGATGACTAGCCAGGGGTGGTTCCTTCTAAGTCAGAGTGCTTCTGCCTGAGTGGCAGGAAACCAACACTCTGCATAGAAATAAGCCAGATCTGTTTAAACGGGTGTGTTTACAAAATTTAAGGTTAGGAACAAGGACAAAGTTCAGAAGTGGATGGAACAACCAAAACAGTGATCGTTAGGAAGAAGAAGAAACAACAGAAAAAAAATGCCTACGACAAATCTAAAAAGTAACTAGAGGAGACAGAATCAGAAGTGACGATACCAAGAAATTTTTAGGGATGGAACCAGTACTAAAAAGGATGAAACTAGTACTAAACCACATCAAGAGATAGCAGTTGAAATGGTTCGGACATGTGTTAAGACTACTACCAGAGAGGTGCACAATACAGACAATGCAAACAGTGGATAGCTGGAATATCTGAGGCCATAAATTCCAGCATTTACATAGCAAATACTAAGGCTCGCACCCAATCCTCTTCAAAATCTGATGCTGAAAGGCAAAACTGGACTAGAGAAGAAGAAGAAGATACAGAGATGAGGTTAGAGAGGAGAATGATGAGAAAAACAAGAGCAGAAAAAAACATAATGACGATTTCTCAAAAGAGTAACCATGAACAGATAAAAACATAAAGAAGATGTCATAAAATTAGATAAAATCACAAAGAGAACTGATTACCCGCACCATAAGTACAGTACATTCTTTGGGTATGTGATGAAAAGTGAAAAAACTGAATTAAATGTTGACAACAGGAAAGTTGGAGGGGAAGAGAGGAGCAGAAATGGTCATCAGTACCTGAGACAGACTGGTGTGGATAGACATTACTATTTATCCCTTTCACCCTGATAAATCCAAAATCAAAATTTGCGGTTGGGGCCAATTCTCTGTAAATGTCAACTTTTCTGACCTGTCTAGGGTGATCTGTTTATGAGACGTACAGTTGATGCTAAAGCCTGTTTTCAAGCCTGCCCAAATGTTTACAAGGTCAGGATATGAATACACTAGCTAAAATTAATACTGAGCGAAACCTTTCCTGTTTTTTTTTTTAAAGCCAGGTTGATGTCAAATTTTCCTGTAAGTCTCAATGATAAAGGTCACAAGGTCACATTATGAGTCACTGAAACATGTTTTTCAAGGCCCAGTAGAATGTATTTAAAATAATGTTTGACCCTGCTCATGTTTACTGATTACCACCTTTATATATCTTGACCAAAAAAATATGAAAAATGTAGATAAATAAATTTTTTAATGAATTTATTAGTCACCTGCAAAAAAAATGTTCTTTTTTTAAAGGAATTTTTCTGGAATTCCATCAACAAAGCCTGTCATATGATATCGCGACATCTAGTTTGAGAATGGAGGTGGAGGCAGTCACTGCTGCCCTAGCTGGATAGAGATTTAGCTGTTCACCCATGTCGTATTTGTAACAGACTTACAGAGTATGTGCAGAGTGGCAAGCACAGCTTCAGATGTCCCAGGTAATTAGTGTTCTTTGGATATTTTCTGTAGGTACTGCCGGTGTGTTGGGAAACAAGCAGGCAGATAGACTGGCCAGTTCTGCACCACTTGGTGGTGAACTGATACATGACAAGCTAGATGTCGTGAGGGCCTTTGGAAGCGAGTGAACAGAGGGGAGGCACAAATAGATCATTATGGTCTGTGGAGAAAGGCTGTGCGGGGAGTTACCAGGTGATCTGGCCCATGTTCAACACTCAAGGAAAAGGTGAGATGGATTTACAATCAGACAGTTACTGATACCATCGGAACTGGAACTTTTCACTTGCTGCTGAAGATTGGGACGGAGGGCTTATGGGAGTGTCCCGAGTGCTGTTATGATGATTCTTAATTCAACATTCAACAACATCAGGGTTATGACCTATTCTGTTTAGTGTTACTAGGACAAGAAGGTTAAGAACACATATGCCAATGTAAAAAAAAAAAATAAAGGATATGATCACAAGAAGTGTCATGAGAAAAGAAAAAAAGAGGGAGAAGAAAAAGTGGGAGACCAAGAGAGAAGATATTGAACAGTTTGGCTTAAAGGCATACAAGAACATCTACAAGGGAGTTTCAAATGAACACCTTAAAATATGACAGAAATTACAATAACTTTGTCTTTGTCTTGTAACCAATCACTATTGTTGTTAGGGATCTCAAGAGTGTTAAGCACATGACCTCACATTGCAATGAAAAAGATAGACAGTTCATTAAACAGATGGTTGTGGAAAGACAGAATGACCAACGCCATACTATATAGACTACAAGAAAAGGCTATGTATTACTTAGGTTGACAGCACTAGGTTCTGCCTTTGATGTTGCTATTCTCAACCAAGTTCTGTGATATTCCTCAAATGACAGCTTCTTCGACTGAGTGGATCTGGCCTTCGTCTGCGCTGTAAAAAGTTTATCACTTGAAGATGATCTGTAAGCCTTTATCACTGATTCCCCTGGCACTGTCTGAACATCAGTGCCTCTTTCTGTGAACAAAAAAAATAACACTGGAGGGTTCACAATAAGTGTCAGCTGTGTGTTATTTAGGATTTTTAAGGTTTGCCGATTTGTAAATTGTACATCCTTTACAGCAGTGGTTCTCAACCTTCCTAATTCTGTGACCTTTTTATACAGTTCCCCATGTTGTGGTGACCCTTCAATACAGTTCCTCATGTTGTGGTGACCCTTCAATACAGTTCCTCATGTTGTGGTGACCCTTTAATACAGTTCCTCATGTTGTGGTGACCCTTTAATACAGTTCCTCATGTTGTGGTGACCCTTTAATACAGTTCCTCATGTTGTGGTGACCCTTTAATACAGCTCCTCATGTTGTGGTGACCCTTTAATACAGTTCCTCATGTTGTGGTGACCCTTCAATACAGTTCCTCATGTTGTGGTGACCCTTCAATACAGTTCCTCATGTTGTGGTGACCCTTCAATACAGTTCCTCATGTTGTGGTGACCCTTCAATACAGTTCCTCATGTTGTGGTGACCCTTTAATACAGTTCCTCATGTTGTGGTGACCCTTCAATACAGTTTGGTGACCCTTCAATACAGTTCATCATGTTGTGGTGACCCTTCAATACAGTTCCTCATGTTGTGGTGACCCTTTAATACAGTTCCTCATGTTGTGGTGACCCTTTAATACAGTTCCTCATGTTGTGGTGACCCTTTAATACAGTTCCTCATGTTGTGGTGACCCCCAACCAGAAAACTGTTTTCGCTGCTACCTCATGACTTCAGTGAATATGTGTTTTCTAATGATCGTAGACCAACTTTGTGAAAGGGTCATTTGATCCACAAAGGTGCTGCGGCCAACAGGTTGAGAACGGCTGCGTTACAGAATGTCACAAACAAACTCTAGCTCTTTGGTGGTCATTTAAAAAAAAAATCTTCCACTTTTAAAGTCAAAAACTTACCCGTGCCTGTTTCTGGACCCAATTATGGAGGGAAAGGAATAAACCCAATGCCCCCCCCCCCTCCCAATCCCAAACAAGCATGTCATAAAAGGCAACTAATCAAAGGTGTTTCCTTCAAATTGAAGTGCATCTGTCTCAGAGACGAGAAACCAACAGTCTGCATACAAATAAGCCAGAAATCTGTTTATTGGATGTGCTTGCACAATTCAAGTTCTGGAACAAGACCAAAGAACTGACAAACAACCAGAACTTTCCGCCAGATTTTACAGCCTGCGAATGCTAAGAAGAGGAAGATGAAGAGTCTACAACCGGAAGAGATTCTTAGTTTCATGACAGAAAGCTGTTATTATTCTCGCTGAGAGGATCTGCTCTCTGTCACTAGCTATGTCTAGCACATGTCACTCATGTACACAGGAATTATGTTACCATGAAAAAAAAAAGAATGAAAAAAGAAAGTCGAAAACAAAGCGGGTGAAAAGAAAATGACACTGAAACAAAAAGTGAAAGAACAAACTGAAGAAAAAAAAGAGAGATAAGAAGTAAAGAATGAAATAAAACTGAAAAGAAAATGAAACAAACAAACAAAATTAAAGAAGTAAAAAAAAACAAAAAACAAACAAACAAGAATGGCACAGTAAACACAGATTTTCATGTGAAAAGATAAAAATTAATATAAAACTAGAGACAGACTGATTCTAAATACCTTCAATGACATGGCTGTTAGCCACACATTCTGTAATCACCCGATGATATAAATCCGGTGAAGTCATTAACATTCTGGCCGCATCTACATTCACTGCATTTTCACACACTGGGTTTGAGAGCAAAGCCTTGAGAGTAGTCAAGAATAATATCACAAGTCACTGATAATGATCTAACATTCTTGGCTGTAGTGAAAAAATCACTGAGCTAGTGTATATGAGCATAAGTGAGTATTAATGATCTGCATTACATGAACATTACTGAGTATTACTGAGCTAGGGTACACAGTCATCAGTGAGCTAGGGTACATTAGCAAAACTGGGCATTAATAAGCTGAGGTACATGAACATAAGTGAGTATTAATGATCTGCATTACATGAACATTACTGAGTATTACTGAGCTAGGGTACACAGTCATCAGTGAGCTAGGGTACATTAGCAAAAACTGGGCATTAATGATCTGGGGTACATGAACATAAGTGAGTATTAATGATCTGCATTACATGAACATTACTGAGTATTACTGAGCTAGGGTACACAGTCATCAGTGAGCTAGGGTACATTAGCAAAACTGGGCATTAATAAGCTGGGGTACATGAACATAAGTGAGTATTAATGAGCTGCATTACATGAACATTACTGAGTATTACTGAGCTAGGGTACACAATCATCAGTGAGCTAGGGTACATGAACATTAATGAGCTAGGGTAGATGAACATAACTGATCATTAATGAGCTGGGGTACATGAACGTAACTGAATATTAATGAGCTGGGTTACATGAACATAACTGAATATTAATTAGCTAGGTTACATGAACATAAATGAATAATAATGAGCTTGATTACAGAAAACATAGCTGAATATTAATTAGCTTGGTTACATGAACATAACTGAGTTTTAATGAGCTAGGGTAAATGACCACCAGTGAGCTAGGGTACATAAGCATATAGTTTATGGTTTATACAACGGATCAACATCATGGCACAAGGGTAGTAACCCATAAGTGCTCCGTTCTACTTCTAACTCAAGCCTGAGTCCGTAGAATCTTAGCACAGTGCATGAACTCCATAGCATCAGTGAGCATCCTGAAATACTTTGGGTAGGTTTTTAACTCCAAATTTTGCCTGGGCAGCACCATACATAAGGATAACTGGGCATTAATGACATGAACTAATTGAACTTCATGAGCTAATTTAAGCATTAATGAGCTAGGGTATATGAGCATAACTGCACATTAATGAACTACAGTACAACAGCAATACTAAGCTAGGTTAAATGAGCATCAGTAGAATGGGTTACCAGGAAATAAAATGGGAAGTAAAGGTAGCTGGCATGATGTTAGCCACATCACCCATTCAATGTCAACTGGTCTATGACAATATGAGCCTAGCGCTATATACACAAACTGGGAGCTGTGTGGTCTCTAGGCATGGTGTCCGCCTCAAGAGCTAGAGGTCCCGGGTTCAAGCCCCGGTAAGAGCTTTTTTTTTCACATGGACTTCTAGTAAATTCCCCTGGTTTCTGGGTAGTAAGACCGGACGCCTGTATGTGTTGTTGCGCACGTAAAAATCCCTTGACAGTTGCCCGGGCAAAATCTGGAGTTAAAAATCTACCCAAAGTATTTCAGGATCCTCGCTGGTGAAACAGAGTTCATGCACTGTGCTGCGATTCGTCAGACTCAGGCTTGAGTTAGAAGAAGAACGGAGCACTTATGGGTTACACCTGAGTGCCATGATGATGATCCATTGAATAAACATAAACATACATACACAAAGTGTCTGGCATAAAAAGGGGTCCTTATAAGGATAATTGCTTTTGCGTTACTAGGCCCATTAGGGGATGCAAAGAACAGTAACAGTGTAATCAACCAAACACATCCCGAGTGGGAGCTCCCTGTGTGGGTTCTGGGGCCCTATTATAGGGAAAACAAGAATTGACCCACCGCCTACCCAAAAGCATGTCGTAAGAGTCGACTAATTGGGAGCTCCCTTTGAAGTCAGAGTTTATCTGCCTAAGAGGCAAGGAACCAGCAGTCTGCATACAAGTGAGTCAGATCCAAAAAATGGATGCGCACGCAACACTCAGGTTGTGGAACAGAACTGTAGTCCAGAAGTAGATAAACAACCAGAACTTTCCGCTGGAGTTTACAGCTGGTGAACGTGAAGAATAAGACAAGTGGCAGCTAAGATGTTTTGGTCTTGAGACAGCTATCATATCCTGTAGAAAACTCCAGGCAGTTACAGACAAGTTTAAAAAGAATACAAGAATTACAGCCAATCGAGATCAATTAATAGCTTCTCTGAAGATAAACAATACGGGCAGGACACAGAAGGTGTTGCAGAGGATGATAAAGGAGTTACCAAGGGATCTAGCTGACGCTCAATGCTCAGTGGAAGGATGAGATGGATATACAATCAGGCGGTTACTGGTACCATCGGAATTGGAACTCTTCGCTTGCTGCTGAAGATGGGACTGAGCACTTATGGGAGTGCCTGAGGGCTGTGATGTCGATTCTTAATTAAACATTTACTGTTAATTACCACAGTTTCTGTGTTTGAATATTGATGTCTAAACCATGCTCTGCACTCTGCCAGTTGACTTGATCAACTAGGTCCTGTAACTTGTTCTCGCTTTCTGCTAGTAGCACAGTGCTGTCAGCATAACTCTGATTCTTTATTATTCTTCCATACATATTCAGTCCAGACAATTCTTCAACTTGTTTAAAAATGTTTTTTTTTTTTTGGTATGTAAGTTAAAAATGCTCAGGGATAACACACATCCTTGACACCATCCTCTTTTTAATCTCTATCTGTGGTGAGACGATGTTGTTGTGTCTAACTGTTGCAGTTTGTTCCCAGCAAAGGTTACTGGTAATTCTGATACCCTTTCCATCTACTCCTACATTTTGGAGGCAGGCAAACAGCTTGAAGACATCACAACCAGGAAAATGCAGTTGAAACAAACAAACAACAAATAATACACAGTTACAGAACATCTATAAGTCTGACCTGCAGAGACACTAAAATCATAGAGAGGCTGTAGTTTTCATTCCAAATCTGATAGTCATCCAAAAAGTCAATGCATGGCCTACCACTGGCCATATCCACTGTGGATAAAGATGAATTTTTCAACAATATACCATCTAACCAAAAGAGATTCAGTTTTGTTATTTACATGGTCATAAGATGAAAAGAGTGATGAAGATGTCTTGAAAGAAAACTGATTCATGACTATGTCAAGAATCTACATGTCTAGGGCTCGAATCTATGGCTAGGCTGTAGGCCGATGACAGATAAACTCTGATAACGAACACATCAAAACCAAACACTGGTTAAACACACACACAATCTTTATTATCTAAGAATACAAACTCATAGAGGTTTTTGCCTCAGGGGTGGCAGAGCTCCTTATTCTGAAACCAGGCCGCTCTAACTTTAAAATCGCTAGACGCTCCTTTTCACGTTTCATGAAATAAGCTCTGAGCTTCTACCACACTCCTGTACAGTGCTATCTCAACTCGCTGTCTCCCGATGCCAAGGGCATTGTGGCACATGCCGAGTGAGGGCCGGAGGTGCGTCAGTAGATATTAACGCCACAAACAATACATGGCCTTGTTTCCCATAACGAGGTATCACTACTGAAAGGAGTCTAACTGATATCATGAATCTATCTGCTAAAGGAGATCTAAGTGAAACAATTCCTACCTACACGGTAAAGTACTAACCACATTTAGCAAAACATTAGACTGTACGAATCACAGCTAACATCTAACACCCCCCACATTTGTACCGGTCGTTACGATTTGTCAATGAACTATTACAATCTAACGGTCAGGTCAAACACCGTCCAAGTCACACAGATGTCATCCCTAGAAATCCCTGATCTGTGCCTCGCGCTGTCGTTTTGTTGAACTCCCAGGGTTAAGAGGTCACTTCATGAAGCCAGCTGATGCCCGGCAAGCCTAGTTCAGCTAACAGGAATTTATCCGTGTATCGGCTTGTCAGCCCCTAGGTTTAGTTAAGGATCACTATCCACAGCCTTGCTGATTGATCATCATTACCCTGGACTGTCCCATAGCCAAAACGACCCCTGACAGACTACATCAGATGGAGACAGTCTACATTCTTCAGTCCTGCCAGGAGAAGGAGAAAACTGCAGTAAATTAGGACAGAGGGAAAGATGGAGGCAAAAAGAGGCAGAAGGAGACTGAGAATGAAGATTATGGACAATCTGACATCACGGCATGGAAGATCTTCTGTGTAATAAATTACTGAAAGTACTTGCGACAGAAGGTTGTGGTTACACAAGATGATTACCAATGCCACATGGCATGCACTATAAGAAGAACAGGAAGATGTGGTCATAAGTAACTACAGAATTTGATATTAACTATTGCAATTACAGTTCCGTCGCCATGTGGGATGAATTTTGTGTTTTTTTAAAGCCCCACCTTTGTTGTTGCCAGGAGCCCAAATATAACTCAACGTATTTAATGAACTGGGCTTCTGGAACCTCTACACGGGTGATCCTTATCCAAATGGTGGCACTTTGTGTCACCAGGTGATTAACACTCAGTGTGATGTCCTGGTGGGGTTGAACAGTAAACAATCAGTCAATTAACCATTGTGATTACATACATCGGTCATGCACTCAGAATGGAAAGACAAGACTCCCCCATCAAGCCCTCTTATAGACACTGGAAGGAAAAACAAAACATGGAAAAGCAAGAGATACCCTGCATAGAACCATCATCAGAGAAGGCTCAACGATGGGTCTAATAAACATCGAAGACCAACAACAGGTTGCAACAAACCCCCAGACATGGAGAGCGATGATTTCTGCCCTATGCACCGCCCTAGGCTCAAGATGAAAGACTAACTAACTAAACTAACTAATTGTCTGAAAGAATACTGTCAGAGGTCAATTAATAAAATGCTCAAGAAACTTTTATTTGCTATCTAGAAAAAGACACTCAATTATATGATACTGATTTGGTCATAATTAACAACAAAATGTGTTACTAACCATTGGGATGAAATGGAACTGTCTGAAAGAAAACTGTTGGAGGTCGAACATTATAATGTTCGTCAAACTTAATGTAGACTGTGAATACTCCATCTGAAAAGAGACAGTTCAATCACACTTTACTCATTTGGTGTAAGTAATGGACCCTTTCACACCAATGGTGCAGAGACCAATCGGCATGCGGAGGGCGATCAGGTCAACATTACACCTGTGTAATGTGCTCATCTAGGGGCATGTATTGTTTACATTGCTTTCAGACGAACAGTGAGTTGAAACGACACAGCATGAACGAATATTGAGTTCTTTGCTTTTATTCGTTGAATCGCCAGTTATCGCAAACATACATTCATGCTTCCTCGTGCTCGACTTGCTTGGCTGAATCTAGCGACCTGGACGGACTTCCCACACACTTCAGGAATTTATCAGCGCCTCTCGAACCATCCATCTATACTTCATGGACTCTGATATCTGACATTACGACGTATGGAAAACATTCAGTCCTCCTATTGAAATATAACGTTCACTTCACAAATCATTTATTCTTCTCAGGCGTTCCTTCACGCGTCCTCTCTCAGTCAGGGCAGAACTTCAACTGTCTTACTTCAGTCTCTCGGTTCACGTCTTCCGTTCACGTCTCATGCTTTTCTTGTGTCTCTCACTTCGTTTACCCTGAGACACACGAGACTCACTTCTCCCGTTTTTCTCTTCTCTCACGGGTCCTCCGACCTTTTTCTCCCCATCGGGAACTCTCTGGGGTTTCCCCGGGGATTCACAACATTACAATCTCCCCCTCCCTTCTAGTAAAAAAAATTTACCTTAAAATTTTTTTTCTATTACTTTATCTTTAGTTTATAATTTTAAAGGTTTGGGAATACTTTAATGTAATGATGTGGATTACCTAATAATCATTTTGGGTTTTAATGGTTACTTCCCTTTTGATAGGTTTTACATTATTTCCCTTTGTCACATTACCAGTTATAAGTACCAATAAGTACCAAGTGGCTTAATGGGAAACAACCATTCAGGCACTCTCTTCCAAGTGCGGTAGTCCATATAGGCTCTGCGTATTAACCCCATGCCATCCCACAGTCTGTATAAAACAGAACAACAATTCTGGTACTCTCTTTCAAGTACTGAAGTCCATATCGGCTATGGAACAGAAATGTAGAAAACCCGCAAAGTCCCACCCTCACCGTTGGACTCATGGCTACTGTCACTGGTTTACGTTTCAATTAGAAACATATGTTTCCCTATTTAGGATTTCGAACTCAATCCCTTGGATTATGTGGTGTAAATTACCCATTACTTTTCCGAAAAAGTATTATTATTCCCTTTCTATATCATAGTAATTACCCTATTACATGTTATACAACCTATATTTTCACCAATAAATTTATCTAAAAAACATATGCAATCATTATTAAACCTTATTTCACCATGTTGTAACGTCTTCATTGTCATAATCATCATCATTATTGTCATCATCATCATCGTTATCATCATCATCATCATCATCATCATTATCATCATCATTGTTGTTGTCGTTATCAGCATTATTGTCATCATATTCATCTCATCGTCATCATCATTCTCCTCATTATAGTCACCATTGTCACCATATATTGTTCCTTACTTACAAATGTAACATACATAAAAATCATCAGTTAAGCTATGTTTACATATTTCATTCATTCAACCATATTCTTTCCTGTAATTCAGGATTTCCCCAGGTAATACATACAATACAAAATTGAATCTATGTTTATAATCTGGACATCACGTCGGGTAGATGGTTTTCAATGCCCTTAATGTGTTCTATCTTGAACTGAAATTGGGATAATAATAACGCCCATCTGTATACTCTTGCGTTATTTGTTGCATCCATTGTTAACAATTTTGTCAGGCCTAAGTTATCAGTCAGAATAATGAATTCCTTTCCTATCAAGAATTTTTGGAATTTTTTAAGGCTGATAACAAGAGCGAGAGCCTCTTTTTCAAAAGTACTGTATTTCTGTTGGGTGGAATTAAGTTTCTGTGAAAGATATAGAACCGGAAGAAGAGTACCGGAATGCCTTTGAGCCAACATCGCGGCTATGGTATGACCACTGGCGTCAGTTTGTAGGTAGAAAGTTTTAGATGGGTCCGGTTGTCTTAGTATTGGTGGAGTAGCAAATGAAGACTTGATTTTTTGTATGATTTTGTCATGAGTTTCTGTCCAATCCTTTTTTCTAAACTGGTCTTTTTTCAAAAGTTCCGATAGAGGGGCTGTTAGTTCTGCTAACTTAGGGATGAATTTGCCGTAATAATTTACAAGTCCTAATAGTGCCTGTAGTTGTTTCTTGGTCTTTGGTCTTTCAATTTTTAAAATTTTAGAAACAATTGTCTCGTCAGTCTGAATACTACCCTGGAACACTGTATGTCCTAAAAACTGGATTTGTGTGAAACAAAACTCTGATTTCGCTGGATTAACAGTCAGATTTGCCTTTTGAATGTTGTTGAACACTTCTTTCAAGGTGTCTATGTGTTCCGGCAAAGTTTTTGTGTGTATGCAAATATCATCCATGTATGTTGTTACATTATTAATACCTGTTAATACCTTACATTTCTTGTAAAATACCTTTTCATCATGTTAACATGAAAAATTTTCAATTTCCCTTTATAATTAATTTCATAATCAACATTTGACACTTTTCTTACTACCGTGTAAGGGCCACGCCATTCGATATATAATTCAACTGAATCTTTTGGTAGAAACCCACTTTTGACCGGGTTCGAAGGCCATCAGTTTGGAACTCCTATTTGCAAACATTCGCTGCGTATGTTGCGTGGGCATCTGCCTTTTTGTACTTCCATGTTACTAATACATCATTATGAAACACTATAATGGGTGGTTTCTAAATATTGTTATACCAGATACATGATAATTAATTCCGTGCTAATGTATATAGACACAATTAAAACTGTTTAATTAAAGTGGACTGGTTAACCTACTATCACAATATATTAAAATAATCTGCTTGCTGTATGTGACTGCTGTTACCGACAAGTTTTATGTGTAATCACAGAATGAGGAAAGTGTTTAGAATAAACCATGTGTAGAAGCAATAGTTTTAGTAGTAGCAATGCAAGTAGTGTAACACTTTTGAGAAATTGACAGCTTTTGATAATCACCGAGACTTGTGAATTGAAGTTTTTCCGACTAGGATAATTAGTCACTAAAAGTTGCACTATTTGAATAGTATAGATAGTACAGAATAACTCTAAGTTCTTTGTCTGAAATGTTGTCAAAATAATCTGCAATATAATTAAAATGAAGTGTAGTATCCACATCCAACCATGTGTGTAATGTGATATACCATTCTGCTGTTTCTGTACATGGTGTTTCTTTTGTGATATGTCATGATACTTTTTTGTTAACATATCGTATCGCTTTCTAGTTTCAGGACCCAGCGATTTGCAATATTTTTTACAACAATCACAGAGAATAGGATGTTTCATTTGATACCTGTCTACACTGTGTTTTGTTTCTGTGTTTTTAGTGTTTTCAGTTACCGTTATTTTTGTAACCACACACTTTTCTCTGCTAAGCTTAGTTTCTGTCTTTGTATGCTGTTTATTCTTGCACACTTCGCTTTCATTCATTCCACTTTTCTTCTTTCTGTGTTGGGCTTTGTTACGACTGCTACTCTTCTTGCTTCTTTCTTCCATACTTTCTGATCCATTCTTTGGCCTTTTTCTTCTGTTTGTATTTTCATTTTTCCTTTCACTCTCCAAGCTTTCTCTGACACATTCTTCTTTGGGATATGGAGTGTTAACTTTTGTATCTTCGCTCTCACTTGGGTTGACACTCTCACTGGGATTTGGAGGGTTGTCTTTCGTAACCTTACTCTCACTCACATTACAGCATTCTTTGGGATATGGGGAGTTGTCTTCCGTACTTTCATTCTGACAATACTTTGGAATATTTTTTTTGTTCCCAAGCTACAATGTCCCTGTCGGTTACTGTTCTTAAATCTTCCCTGTTTCCCAAAATCAAATCAGCACAAGGGGATGGTAATACTGCAACAGTTATGAACTTTTCTAAGTATGGTGTTTTAACAACCACGTTAGCAAGTCGATATCTTTCGATGCTACCACCAAAGGTACGACAATTGATGTATTTGTCTGTTAAATCTTCTGGTCTAATCAGTCTTTGATGCACTCCGCAAATAGATGCACCAGTGTCCCTAAGGAGTGATATGGTTTGCCCATGGATCTGACCTTTTTGAAATTTCAGAGTGTGTTGCCAGATTAGCGTTCTGAATGGGTATCAGGTGTCCACACGGTAGGTTGCCTTCCTTATGGAATTTAGAACATATTTTATATTCTTCTTCTGTTTCGTACATGGTAGCTGAATTGGCTTCAGCTGAATCGCTTTCTGACTCATCATCTGATGTTACACATACTACATGTGCCTCCTTGAATCGTTTTATAGCAGGACAGTTACGTCTAGTGTGCAAATAACATCCACAAATATAACATTTTACTGCATTTTCATACCTCTTTAACTTGTTTTTTCTATGAGCAATCACCTGTTCAATTCTTTCATTAAATAGTGGGCTTTTATCACAAGGTGCGTCGTCACCATGTCTATCGTGACAGTGGTTGCAATTGATGGTCTTTACCTCTTTCTTGCCATATCTAAAGTTTTTGTTCTGAAATTTCTGTTGGTATGGTTTTGCATAGGCTGCTGCTCCCACTTCTATCAAATCAGAACTTGATAGCACGAAGATATCAGGGTGTGCTGCAAAATAATTTTCACCTACTTCTTCTAAAGAATCTAAATTTGTTGGCTTATTTTCCTTTAGGAAAGTTGCCATTGGCTGTGGAAGAGATTCTAACATTTTACATCTTAACAACAAATCAACCAATAACTTATAGTCATTTTTTTACATTGGCTGCTTCCACCCATTTTTGGAATATGTTCTGTACTTCTGACAGATAGTCTGCAAATGTTTGACTACTTCTTGGTCTCAAATCGTTGAACTGTTTTCGGTAGCCAGCTTCGTGCAGGTTGTAATGCTTCATTAACCTTTCTTTGATATAGTTGTAATCTAGTCTTTTGGTTTCCGGAATTGTTTCCAGAATCTTCAAAGGTTCAAATGCCAGGTGTTTTTGAAAGATTAAAGCGTAGTCTTGCAATGGAACGTTATGCATGTGCATACCTAGTTCGAAATTGGCTATATACGCTCCGATGTCGTCTTCCTTGCAGTAATTTCGGACTATTCCTGCATATTTTTTGAATTTGTTTTCTTCCGCTTTGATTCTCTCTTTTTCTATGGCTGCTTCTCTTTTTGACTGATTTTCCATTTCCTTTGTTCTGATCTGAGTTTCTGCTTTTTCTTTGTCCGCTTGTATTTGTGCCTCTAACCTCTGTTTTTCCAGCTGTAATTTTTTCTCTTCAATCTCTTTTTGTTGTAGTAGTTCCATCTGTTTCAATTCAGCCTCTTTCTCTTTTAGATGTAGTTCATGTTCACCCACAAGTCTGCGTTCTTCTCGTTCTTCTGCTGCTTTTCTTAATTGTTCTTCTTTTTCTTCTGCTGTTCTTCTTTTTTGTTCTTCTTTTTCTTCTGCTGCCTTCTCTTTATGTTTTTCATCCACATACTTTCTTAACTCGTCGCCCTGAAGGCCTAATTCTTTACCAATGGCTACCCATTCCGCCATTTTTGTCTTGTAGATGTATACAATATTCCTGTACAAATATAACAATTAGAAATGCGTTCACAAATATTACGCTTAATAGCAATACAATCACAACCAACAAAATCAATATGTGATATATAATCGCTATGTTTAGCTGAGTAGTTTTCTACCTACTCAGAACAATAATATCAACTATGAACTTAATTACTCAACTTTTAAAAAAAAATTACTATGGCTCCTATCGAGCTAAGACACAGTCTATTCTACGGATCCTTCTTTTCGCTATAGCACACTTCTCGGCTGTAACGGAAATATATTGAACGAGTCTCTTGTAGATCGTGTCGTGCAATTGAATCTTCCGGTTGGTATTGTCACTTCATTAATTGGCCACTACCCGTCTGAATTCATATTGTGGTTCATTATAGAAGTAGTGTACTTTTTTGAAAAATAGCGGCACTCGTCTATAAGTTGAACATGGATGTCAATCTGAATAATTCATGGAAACTGACTGTCTGTTCTAAAGACTTGAAGGAACTCACAGAAAACTGTTCTGCACGTGTACTTGTTCTACCTGTGCTACGGATGTTCGTTTAGCGGTGTTCCGCTAGCTGCATGTTAGATCGGATATGTGTATATAAGTCGGCTGTCCGCTTGACCAATGTCACTCAGCTAGATGCCTTGTCTTAACACACTTACGTTATGTTAGCATGTTTAGTGATCACTGTACTTGGTGGCTGTTGCCCTTTGCAACTACTGTTTCAAACACTGGACTGATTGATGACTAATTTGATGTTGTAATACACAGTATAGTTGTTTCGATCACACTGTAACAATACGCAGTATAATTGTTACGCTCACACTGTAACAATGTGTAGTATAGCTGTTACGATCACACTGTAATAATACGCGGCATAGTTGTTATGATGCCACTATAACGATACGTGGTATAGTTGTTATGATGATACTGTAACGATAACTAATTTCGACACGTTACCCAGTGGCGAATTTGGCCATCCTTACACAGAAAAACTGTACTTGAAATTTCTACACATTTTCTTGAGGTAAATTTCGACACAGCAACTGGTGTTACCACGGATGATGGCTGTATAGCGGCCTTGACCCAGTCCCCCACTTACGTCAACTCTGCAGCCCCGCTTTGAGCTTTGAAGTTTAACTGGTCCAACTGGCCGGGTTTTTGGTCACTACACTGACCATGTTTGTCGTTGCTTGTTCTGAACAAATAAATTTTGACTAACAACTGCTGTTACCTCAGACGATTACTGGAAATCGACCTTGACACAGAACGCCACTTACATTGACTGTTCAGCTCCGTTATTAGCTGTCGAGTTCAACTGGTCCAATCCGCTGTGTTTTCAGTGATGTTCCGGTTATCTTCTGTCGTTGTTTTTTGTCCCGGATGTGTCCGTTTTAGAGCCTCCACTTGTAATGTGCTCATCTAGGGGCATGTATTGTTTACATTGCTTTCAGACAAACAGTGAGTTGAAACGACACAGCATGAACGAATATTGAGTTCTTTGCTTTTATTCGTTGAATCGCCAGTTATCGCAAACATACATTCATGCTTCCTCGTGCTCGACTTGCTTGGCTGAATCTAGCGACCTGGACGGACTTCCCACACACTACAGGAATTTATCAGCGCCTCTCGAACCATCCATCTATACTTCATGGACTCTGATATCTGACATTACGACGTATGGAAAACATATTGAAATATAACGTTCACTTCACAAATCATTTATTCTTCTCAGGCGTTCCTTCACGCGTCCTCTCTCAGTCAGGGCAGAACTTCAACTGTCTTACTTCAGTCTCTCGGTTCACGTCTTCCGTTCACGTCTCATGCTTTTCTTGTGTCTCTCACTTCGTTTACCCTGAGACACACGAGACTCACTTCTCCCGTTTTTCTCTTCTCTCACGGGTCCTCCGACCTTTTTCTCCCCATCGGGAACTCTCTGGGGTTTCCCCGGGAATTCACAACATTACAACCTGCCACGTTTACGTTCCAGGACTTTGACTGGTACCCTTTAAAGCTGGGTGGACCTGGGAGCCAAGGTCATCCTTAAAAAAGAAAAAGAGAACAAATTCCAGCACTGTCAGGACCTGACCCATAACCCTTGGATTCGCAGGTGAGTGTCTAGCCGCTACACCACGTTGGCTCATCAAAACCTTAGCATGCATTTGATGAGGACCTATGCTCCATCAGAAAGGGTGGGAGATAATACAAGAGAAAGGAAGTGGAATGGAAACTAGATAAGCGGTGTAGTCAATGCCACGCCAACCACCATTACTTCTTGAAACAAACATTTACACAGCTTTTTTGGAGACTCAGCAAGCTATCAATTAAACACACATATTTAAAACGGCATGAGTTTTAAAAATAGATATTACTAGAATTACAGTGAATGAGACAAAGAAGGAAGATAAGAAGAAGAAAAGAGGAAGTATTAAATAAGAAGAACATGGTAAAGAGGAGATGAGGAAGTAGTAATGAATGAAGGTGGAGAAAGAAGAGAAGGATGAACTATAAAAAGAGGGAGGGTCTGAAGAAGAAGAAAAAGAGAAAGATAAGGAAGAAAAGAAGGAAGAGGATGATAATGAAGATGAAGAAAAAAAAAGGAGAAGAGGGTTGAGTTGAATCAAGAATTGACATCACAGCACTCTGGGCATTCCCATATCTGTTCTGTCCCAATCCTCAGAAGCCAGTGCGAAGTTCCAATACTAATGGTGCCGGTCATTGGTTTTACGTCCGTCCTGCCTTTCCTCTAAGCATAATGTGCCGGCCGAACCCTCTGGTCACACCCAAGTGCATCATTCATTCCAGTCCATGATAATCTATTTTCTCTTTTGACTTCGTTACATGTTCCCAAAGGGCTCTGACCACATCTGCCAAGTAATGTATTAATTCCCCACCCAGTGGTGCAGATCCCGCCAATCTGTCTGCCTGTTCATTCCCTACCACGCCGGCATAGCCTGGAGAAAAGATCCAAAGTATGCTCATTACCTGTGACCTTGCAAGTGAAGCTTGCCTCTCTGCTCGAAGCAATACTGTCTTCATCTTTTTCAGCATGTTTTCAGAGTCTATTAAATTACGACAAAGGAGAAAAGGATGATAAAGAAAGAAAAGAAAAGAGACGATGAAGAAGGGGACCAGATTTTTATGAATAAGCTATGCTATTAAAGTGCACCTAAGCATCTTATAATGACTTTTTTTTAAAAACAGTTGGAAACAAAAGCACTATTTGAAGACTCTTGCATCCCTGTGTGGGTTCTAGGGAAAACAAGAATAGACCCATGCATGTCATAAGAGTCGACTAATTGGGAGCTGCCTTCGAAGTCAGAGTGCATCTGCCTGAGAGGCAAGGAACCAGCAGTCTGTGTACAAATGAGTCAGATCTGTAAAATGGATGTACACGCAACACTCAGATTCTGGAACAGGACTGCAGTCCAGAAGTGGACGAACAACCAGAACCTTCTGCCGGAATTTACAGCTGGTGAACACGAAGAAGAAGAAGACTCTTGCAAAAAATAGTTAGCCATTAGCCACAGTTTCAACTTTATGGGAAAGAGGTCCCCCCGTAGTTGCTCCATTCATGTGCCAGCAAAAACAACAGAGAATGCCTATCACTGTCTGTCGTGGAAACAATTAAATGAGACTGTTAGTCCCAGCAAAGACAACAGCAAAATTTCATGACGCAGCAATCAGAAGTGTGAATACAAACGGTGTGCCACTAGAACTGTAGTTCATTATCGATGGAAGCACCATTTACAAGTCAGCACTTGCACATGTACTGCATAAGGCACTCCCACTTCAGGGGGAAACAGGCCACTGCCATTTTTAAAAATTAATCAGCAATGCTTAACACAAACCATCTCAAGCACAGAAAAAAAAAAAGTAGAAGAAAAAGCATTTCACTCAAATCACACCTGACAGTATCACAACATGAACTCACCTCAGGTGGGTGACAAAACCATGTACCTTTAGTCCACATGTCGGAGAAAATGTGACAACAAACCATGGTCAGAAATAAATAACTGCCAAAACTTCGATGATCGCTTTGCCTATTTCCAAAAATTGCAACTGTTAAAAAAACAATATTATATAATAAAGTTCATTTATATTCTCACCTTCCCATAAGGTATTTCTGAGGCCTTTTATCTTTGCCACCCATTCAAAGATGCTGTCATCACTTAAGGGCCAAGCCTCGATATCCTGTTTAAAAAAAAAATCTGTAATTTTTTTTATATGTTAAGTAGAAGTAAAGAATCCTATTTCACATCTTGAGATTAATTCAGTTAATTCAAAGATTTTCATCACTACACATCAGACGAGTCCATAAGCGCACAGATCCCATCTTCAGTATACCACACCCCCCTCCAGCATGTGGCAACTGATAACAGCAGTTCTGTGTTGGTTTACTATTTTTCTTTGGCTACCTGTATAGTATTCATGTTTGGCGACAACCCTGTTGACCTGAAGTTCTTTTAGTCCTTTGAGTGCTGCCGATTCAATGTTGTCTCCTGAAACATCTTCTCGTCCTACCTTCCTGAGAGCAGTGAGAATGTCAGCCCAGTCCACTGCTTTTCCTGTACCTACCGTGACCCTGCCAGCCAGCTAATCCGCTCATTCGTTCCTCTTACTCAAGAGTGTCCTGCCAAAAAAAATGAAACCAATTCCTATCAGACGAGATTTCATCAGCAACTCCAACCATTTTTCTTAAATCTATCCTGTCTCTATTTTCTTATGCATGCTCAGAAAATTACTTAGATGAAGCTTGAATAAGTCCTAACACCTGTATTTGGGGAAGTAGAGCCCTTGGAGGCCCTTCAGACATGTCTGGCACATGATTCTACTCATTTTTCCTGCCTTGAGCTGTGTTTCGATGCTATGGCGCAATAGTCCTTTTCGCCATTTTTGGGCACAGGTAAGCCCAGAAAAAAAAAATTGATGTAAAATTACGGAACACATCAAACTTTATCGAAAACCGTCAATGAACATCCAACATGTGCAAGAAATGTCTGATTGGCTGGTATGAAAACCTGCCAACCAATAACAAGACTTCTATTATATAGGGCCGACCGATCGGCCCAGTCGTCCTTTTGGCTACTTTGTGTTGGGCGGATATTTCGGCCGCATCCTCTCCAAAGGGTTAATTAAGAGTTTACTGAAATCTGATGTTTTGGGTTGAGTGCAGTTATTGCAGCCTAGCTGTTAACCACAACACAACAACATGCCAACCAGTCTTTTAAGAAAACAAAATTTAGCAAGTTGTAAAATTCACAATTAAGAGTTGTTGAATTTATGGTTTGCTTGGTCATATAATTCATTATGGCAAGCCAGAATATTAATAAGGGGGGATAATAAAAAGGGGCAGGGCCTCCACCTCAAGTGCTGGAGGTCCTTGCGAAGGTTGGGATTTTTTCACATGGACTTCTATTAATTTCCCCTGGTCTCTGGGTAGTAAAATTAGGGCTCTCCTGTAAACTACGGCCGGTAGACAACATTTGACGGCCGGTTAGTCGGAGTTCTGTTCCTTGGTTGCAGTGCAATTACGGACTGGAGAAGGCACGAATCAAATGACATAATTACTGTGTGCTGGCGATAGACTGCGTGCAGTGACCTGCTGTCATCATACGGTTAGGGTTTGGGTTAGCGTTACGGTTAGTGTCGCTGCATCTCGTCTTCGCAGAAACTCAACGTGGCAACCCAAACCCTAACCCTAAACCTAACCCACACCCTATCGCCAACACACAGTAATTATTTCACTTGTTTCGTTCCCTCTATTCTACTCTGTAATGCGTCGCAACAAGCGTTAATTGAACGCGTGTGCTAATTTGAGTCGCAGCGCGGGGTCTGCCAGGCATGTCGACCTCACTGTGTTTTCTGATTCGTGCCTTCTCCAGTTCGTAATTGCACTGCAGCCAGGGGACAGAACTCCGACTAACCGGCCGTCTACTGTTGTCAACCTGCTGCAGTTGAAAGGAGAGCCGATTACGTAATATGCTGATGAAGGCTGTCAAGCCGCAACGCTCACTTGTGGTCTGAGATACTGTGAAGTTGACTGTTTCTACTTATCCATCCATTTGGATGAATACCTTTTCATAAAATTAAACGTAAGGTGGAGAATATCTTCTCTAAAAATTCCATCAATTAAAATAATTATTATTAGCTACATACACATACGCGCGCACACACACATGCGAAAACAAACTCACCCAGGGTGGGTGTGCCAACAGTTTTTGATGCTCTAATTCGATAAGAAGATGTGCTCTTGAAAACATCACTGTGTTGTGAAACAATGAACAAATTCAAGCAAATAACTAAGTAATATTTCATCAAGTGCATTATAACAGTCTAAAATATTCTTCATCTGTGCACTACAGACATAAAAATTCGTCTCAACTTCTTCTGTTATTATTCAGTTATTTGTTTTCCTTCGCGACAGACAACTTCCGGTTTGCGGTGAATTTTGGGTAATTCCGGTGAAGATAAAGATTCATGCATTGTTTTTCTTCTTTGTTGCCCTTATAATGGGAGTTGAACGTTGTATTGTAGTTTACAGCAAGACTGTGGTATCTGTGAGTTTTGGCCCACCACATTCAATTTCAGCACACTTTCTGTCTTCTTCTGTTTCTTAGCGTTCACCGGCTGCAAACTCTGGCACGAAGTTATTGTTGTTCGTCCACTTCTGGACTTTAGTCTTGTTCGAGAACTTGCGCGCACATCCGTTTTACAAATCTGGCTCACCTGTGCGCAGACTGTTAGGTTCCTCCCCGCTCAGGCAGATGCGCTCCGACTTGAGAGCGAAAATCGCCAGTTAGTCGCCTTTAACGACACAAGTGTTGGGGAGGCAGTGGGGCTACCCCCCTCCCACCCCTCCTTTCCCAACATGGGGCCCCTGAAACCACACGAGGAAGCAATTAGTAGACTTTTACGACATGCATGGGGGCAGTGGATCTGGGATTCATGTGATTGTATGAGATGACAAACAATGACCGCTTATCGACAGGGCATATAGAGATCATGAAACATAGTCGAATATAAGTAAACACATTTTGAGATGAATAGTTGTCTTTCTTCTTCTTCTTTTTCCTAATACTTATGCTGTAAAGCATCGCAAAGAGGAGTTCGATGTAGTTTCCTGTCTTTTGCTAGTCCATATCTCCACCATGTTAACGACACAATGTTAGTAAGATTGTCTAATTGTTCATAGAACCTGTTCTGCTGTATGGCAGCGAATCTTGGAATGTCAGTGAACAAATTAAGACACATCTGGAAGCAACAGAGATGTCGTTTCAGAGAAGAATGTTGCGAATACCTTGGAAGGCCAGAGTAACTAACAACGATTGCTTGAAAAAGGCTAATGAAAGTAGATCTCTATATACAACAATAAGAAAGAGACAAACACTGTTCTTTAGCTACGTAATTAGAAGAGAGACATTGGAGAATACCGTGACAACTAGTAAGATCAGTGGGAAAAGGGGTAGAGGCAGACCAAGAGAGATGATGCTGGATGGGCGGAAATGATGGCATGGAGGGATATCATCAAGAGAGCTGTTCCAGTCAACGAGGGATCGTGATCTGTGAAGACGCATGAGAGCCTACGCCAGTTGGCAGGGCACATGATGATGATGATGATGATTCTTTTCCTAACATCCAGTGATTGCAGATATAGATGATCTATTTCAAGCGAAAGAAAGAAGAAGAAAATTGTTCTTAGTTTGTCGTTGGGAATTGTCTCTTATTGTTCCCCCCTCCCCCAACCCGGACTACATTTCTTACACGTGTCATCTTTACCGGCTTAGGACTGCAGATGACACCTGGCTGCTGTAGCCGCTACGCGTTCCCTTATTATAACTTCTTTAGTGGTTGAACGGGGTATCTGTGATCTGCCTTGTTGGTCTGCTGTCTAGATTAAAATTTGTAAAATCTCAGGATGGTATGGTAAACCTGTTGGTAGCAGCCTGGAGTCGACAACCGAGATCATTAACGTAAAGAACTCTTTTCGTTCTATATGATTTGATATATCGGATATATGAGGCTGAACTCTTTATTTTAGACCGACTCGTTAGCGTAGTTCGTTAAACCTGACTGCGCGGTGACCGGGTGACGAACTCCTTGTGGTCCGGGTTCACGCACGGGGGTAGGCAGAAATGCCAGATTTCTCCCAGATTTACGGTATCATGGAATCAAGGCCGAAGGGTTGCGATATCCCTAGTACCGAGCCAAAAGGTTAACAACTCATGGTTTCTGGATATTTGAAAACAATTTTTAGACCGACTAATCAAGTTCGACAGGCTATATGATCAACAACATGCCGGTCGCACTTACTTCCCAGGACTTTACTTGGTACCCAGTTTAGGCTGGGTCGACCTGGAAGCCAAGATCATTTTGACAGAACAAGTCTGACTCGATGCAGATTCAAACCTAAGACCCTCGGACCGACCGACGAATGTCTAGCAGCTGGGCCATCTCGGCTTTCAGATAGTCATTACGCCTTAACAATAATATAACGAGAGAAAGATATATATATATATAGATATATATATATATATATATATATATATATATATATATATATGTATGTATATATATATATATATATATATATATATATATGTATATATATGTGTATATATATATATATATATATATATATATATATATATATATATATATATATAGAGAGAGAGAGAGAGAGAGAGAGAGAGAGAGAGACGCAGAAACTCGCCACAAACTACAGCAATCCCTGAAACAATCTATGGGTATTGTTACACTTATATTCATTCATTACAAAATAATGTTAGCTTTTAAAAAGTTTTGTGTGAATGATAAGCCAAGAACAGACAAGCACAAGAATGAAAAGTGAGAAGATCAGTTGAAATTGACCTCAGGAGGAAATAACCCAAACTGGTTCAAACTTTTGGCGAGCCAGCTATTGGATCATGACTGAAGTCCATTGTACTGTACGCACTCGTAGTGGACGCAGCTTGGTTTGACCTGAGCAAACATAACGTTTGCTGGCTTCTCATGTTCCCAAGTGTCTGTAAACAAAACGTGCAGTGAAGTCTGGTGCTTTCTTAAGTCTCCTGCTAAATTACAAGGTCGGACGAACTGAAGAGCCAAAATATTGGCTGGCAAGGCAAATGCCGCAGTTTCTCTGAAACACTGCGCTTTACTTTTCTCGGCATTTGCTAGAGTCGTGCAGGCTTCTAAAGATGCCATGGAGTTTACCGTGTCTGTATCTTTAGAACTGTCTTACTAATATACCATTTATCATTTAATACACTAACAAATGAACATATCTACGCTGGGATATCTTCTGAATCTTCTCCTTAGCAATCACCAGCTGTAGACTTCGGTGGAAAGATCTGGTTGTTTGTCCATTTCTGGTCTGTGGTCTTGTTCCGGAACTTGAGTTTCGAATGCACATCCGTTTTACAGGTCTGACACAATACATGCAGTTTATAACACAGTTTCTTTGGAGTGTTTGAAAGTCAGTATATGGCAGTTTGTTCCAAGAAAAGTATCGCGTTAAATCAAAATGCATGCTAAAATTATTATTTCGATGTTTTTGCAATGTTTTCTAATGGAAAGTAAGTATTGTTTATTAGTTCATTTTTATTTTAATATGCATGGTTATATATATACACACACACACACACACACATATATATATATATATATATATATATATATATATATATATATATATATATATATATATATATATTAAACAGCATTAAAAGTCTGTGGTTAAGCACCAGCAAGGAAATCAGAGTTAAAATTCTGAGAGCATGAATCTTCCCTTTAAACAACATGCGGATGTGAGTTGGGGACTATCTCCCAGTCATTCAAAAAGAAAATAGGGGCATTTGAGCTGAAATGCTATAGGAAGATTCTCAGAATATCTTGGACAAAGAAAAGAAGGAATACTGACATTTTAAAAGACCTGAACATTAAGGAAGATTGGCTAATAAACAGCATCTTGTCTCGGAAGCTGCCATATCAGCAGCCGTGGCGGACTGGAAATAATAATAGCAGAAGGCATGGCACCAGGAAGAAGTGACAGGAGCCGACCAACACGAAGATGGGCACAGGATATGTGACTCCTTGAATAGGAGGCGGGAGAGCTGGCGAAAGACCGAGTTTCTTTAATGCAGACCGTGCTGAGAGCGACGTTCTGCAAAGGACCCGCTACATGATAATGGTGACATAATTTGATTTGAATTCCGTTATAGCACAGTCCATTTCCAACTTAGTATAGACCACACATTGATGGGCTGAGCTTATGTTGTTAGACTCGTATTGTTATAGCCACATCGGAACTGGCTAGGTGATGTCAACATGAGGCAGGCCGCATTTACTTTCCAACAATATGTCTGGCACCAGATGAGGGTTGGGTCGACCTAGGAACCAAGGTCAGTTCTGAAAAAAAAAAAATCTATGTCGATGTGGCTTTCGAACCCAAGAACTTCGGGGCATGAGGCGAACATCTAGCCTCTGTAATATTTTTTTTTTTTTTTTTTTGCTTTCAGGTGTATTAGGCATATAGGGCTAGACCTATATTTTATAGACTAATCGCTGCGCTACAGTGTTACCCGGTAAAATGTAAATAGACGAAGCAAAATTTGCAACCACTAGTATCAACAGTTATAAGACAGAGAAGATGGCGCTACATTAGACATATTCTGAGAAGAGACAAACAGAGAATCGCTAAGCAGGTACTAAAAGGGGAAATAGAGGGGTTAAGGAAACGGGGACGTTCAACAGAAACCCTAAGGTGAGCGTTGGTGAGAGATGCCAAAGGTGCTGGACTGGATTCCATCTATTATATAGAAGTGATCGCATAGGATAGAACTGAATGGGGAAATATAATGTGAGCCCCTTGTGACATATATTAGCGCAACAGGACCATGAGTAAATCAAATCTGGGGAGATCAAGTGGCAAGAAAGTTAAAATAACATGATATACCGATGACTATAACATGGGCGCCTTAACCAGGGGTTGAGGTCACCTGGAAAACAAAGTTGGGATCAAACTCCATTCCAACCTCCACCACGATTAGAAGTTTAATTTTAAAATATTTATTGATATGTCATTTTCCTCTGTTGTTGTCACGAGCGATGAAGACTACTTTCAACCAAAGTAGTAATGATCAATGATTATGAGTACGAAGGTGGCTAATTAGTCCAATATGAGCCTAGAAAGTTCTTGAGCAATGCGGACAACAGATGGAAGCCGCAGTAAATGTGGGATTAGCAGTTCGATTCTTTCTAG